GCGCGAAGCCGCCCGCGCATTTGCGTGACAGATTTGTCAGTGACGGCGAACTCGTACGGATCTCCGTCGCCTAGCGTCTCGTGTCGTGTTATCTCTGCATGTTTGCCGAGTGACAATGGCGCAGAGGTGTTAGAATGCAAGCCATCGTGTCTCAGGAATGTGCATGCGATAACGCGTGCGTAGACACATCAACAAGTCGTAATCATCGTTTGTCACCCATGTGTGACGCGGTTCGCCTCTCTCTCCCCTCTCGCTCTCTCTCTCCCTCTCTCCCTCTCTCTTTCTCTCTCTCTCTCTCTCTCTCTCTCTCTCTCTCTCTCTCTCTCTCCCTCTCTCTCTCTCTCTCTCTCTCTCTCTCTTTCTTTCTCTCTCTCTATCTCGCTCTCGTTCACTCTTTGCATTTGCTCTTGCTTTCCCTTTATCCATGACATGCCTTTTTGGCTCGTGGCCGATATAAAGGCTACCAATGCCAACAAATGGTGGGGCCGTTTGCTCGGGTTCGTGTGGGTGCTTGCCATTTTGTCGCTCTCTAGTTTTTTTTTTTTTTTTTTTTTTTTGTCATCCAAAGCCAAGATCAGAAAGTACTTTTTAAAAAATAAAGCCCTTATAAGAAACGGGCCACACATAGCCATGCTTCCTAGCATGCATCCGCCCCGCACCGCACGGGCCAAATTATGAGACCAAAGGGCTTTCTAGTCCCTCTCCTGCCACCTAGGCCTATAGCCTAATCATCACCCCTAACTAGGGCTTGGCTCATAGCCACCGCAAACCCCTTTGGGTTGCCCACGGTCAACGCACTTGACGTGCACCGTGCCACGCGCGCTAAGGCGCAAACGCTCAAGGACCATCCCTACACCACGGGTGCGGGTCCTTGGCCACCATTGCCATTCCGCGGGCAGCCACTTGCCACATGCCCCGGCTGGCCGCAGCGGAAGCATGTCCCACGGAAGCCGTGGAAGCTCCCCATAGGCGGGCCGCGCTTGGGGTTGAACGCCATGGGCCCGCGACCTCCGCCGCGGTGGGATCGAGCGTGCGCACCCTCCGCGCGATCTATCGCTGCCACGTCGGCGACGGCTTGCTTGAACGGGCGGGAGGTAAGGAGGCTCTTCTGCTTGTACATCTTGAACCGCTTGGCGACGCGATCGTCGGTGGCGTCCTCGACTTGAAGCATGTCGTAGCGCTCCGAAATGTAGTCGAGGGCGCTCGCGACCATTTCAAGTCCGCCCGCCGCGTCGCCGCGCTGCAGTTTGTACTCCGCGTGCTTCAGGTAGGCCCTCAGGTCCTCCAGGGGCTCCACTTTCGCTCGCACGAGCGGGTCAATGAAGTTTGCCGCCGAAAAAGTGGGGTTAGTGCAAGGGAGGGGAGGGAGATTTTCCATGGGGGGGAAATTTGTTGTGTTGTTCGGAGCCTCACCGGCGTCGTCGTCTGAGTCGTCGGAGTCGTTGTTGACTGCTGCAGCTTCAGGAGCGCTGGTAACGGCCTCCTTGTCGTGGCGGCGCGTTGATGGTCCTTTTGCTCCTTTTTCCTTTTTGCAATGTCGTTTTTAGCCGATGCAGATGCCGCAGGTTGTGTAGTTTCGGCGGCGATCGCGCTAGCGGGGTGCTGCTGTAACAGGGACAGGAGGGCCTTGACTTGGTCCGGGGTCAACGCCTCGGTCAAGGCCTGGTCAGCCGTCGCGTCAGACGAGGCAGCCGTACGGCGCCTCTGGCGCTGACGCGACGGCCGGCCGGAGGCGTGTGCCGCTGGCGCGTGCTCCGCGTCCACGGCGTGTGTCGCCACGTTCGCCACTGGCGCCATAGGCGCCACTGGCGCCACAGGTGCCACTGGCGCCACAGGCGCCGAAGGGTGCTGGGGGTGCTGCTCGGCGTTTTTGTTGACTTCGAGCCCGCCCAACAGCACGTCCACGGCGGTCGGGGCGGATGTTTCGCCGTCTGCCCGGCGCTTGTTGCGACGCTCGCCCGTCGTTTCACGGGCATTACGGTCGTTGTCGGAAATTATCGGGTCGTCGGCAACGATGTTGTTAGCACGGTTAAGCGTCGGCGTCGCAGCCATCGTTGAGCGGTTTTGGTTAAGGATGTCGGCTAATAAAGTTGAAGGAGAAACGCCTCTAGGTAATGAGCGAGTCCTCGCCAGCTTGAACGGTAAAACTAGAAGTGAGCTCGAGAAAATGGAGTTGCATGAGCCGTTGGAAAACGAGAGACGTGGGTGGAGGGAAATGAGCTCCAACCCACGATTTGTAGTTGGAGAAGGGCGTTTAGCGCGCTTCGACGATGCCAAAACATGCGTTACAAGCAGCTGCGCTTTCGAAATACGTAATTTTGAAAAACACTTCGTGTGTTTAAAAATTATAATTTTCATGTACGGTACCATAGTTGATGGCATGAAAGCAATGCATATTCTTGGGCCAAGCAGGCCATAGCCTTTATGGTATGGTACCACAGTATGGTGGTCACATCACATATCCCGGAAAAAACTAGAAACTGCTTCAGCCTTATGTAAGGGAATTCCTGTTGCCCCAGCAATCTTGCTTGAACTTGCAGATGCCACAGCATCAATAGACCCAAAGCTGGAAAGTAGCTGCAACAAATATATGGCACCTTCAGTATACATTTGACAGAACAATCTAAATCCCACATAGACAACTCATGGTATGATACCATCTGTGCTTCATGAGGGGCCAAGCCGGGTATGGTTAGTAAGGGTGCAATAATCGCTTCTGGTGATTGCACGAACTCGGTCCTCTGCAAGAATAAGGGTAAGGTTGTAAGATTGACATGGCTCAGGTTGTAAGTTGAACTTAACTGTGCTAGACCTTGAGGGCATCAATGCTGTGAACAGAAATCCGAGTAACATACCTCTTCGTTAAGAAGTGAGGCAGTCTGCTGCTTCTTGGCCTCTGCAAGTTGGTAATGGTCAGTCCTGACTGACTGACGGTTGAAACATGTAAGAGTTGAATTCGCTTAGCCCACCTGAAAGAACATGAACCATCCGCAAAAGCTTTTCCACTGCAGATCTCTCGTCAATGACTTCAATGATAGGCGGCTTCACCACACCTTGGTTGTTGTGTCTGAAACCATGGCATGTTAGAGCTGGTCAATAGAGCCAGAAGGGTGTCGAATAATCCGTGTGCCTTACCGGCAATACAGGCGAGCGAAGTCGTTGCTGTCTTGAGAGCTTGGGCAGACGCATAAGCCGTATGAATGCCTAAACATCTGGCCGACTTTGATTATCCTGTGCATGACGTTCGTGTCAACATCACTAGGAAAGCGGATCATGCTGGAAACCGAACGTGGCAATCTTACTTTTGCCAGAGCTCACTGTCTGATCTTTGGAAGCTTCCAACCATAAATGCTATGGACATGCCGCCGGAATTGACAATGATGTCCTACAAGAACATACACAAGTTAGGGTAACGCTCGACTAAGTTCGGCATTGGTTTTCAGGCGTGACTTCATACTGGCAGTATATTGGATTCCTTTGTTCTAAAGCCGCTTTCAGCCATGAGGAGCTTGTAAACGTTGTAATTGCGAGTCGCCCATGTTGAATTGACGATACAAACACTGGCAGCCATGGGAGCTATGAGAGCACAGAGATTGTTCGGTTTGCAGTGAGAATCTTTCAAAATGTAAAATTTTTGCTCTGCTTGATTGTGGAACAGAAAGGGTTCAGCAAAGAGAGATCTCTGTGAGGAGGGCGTACTTTTCACATATGGTCCAAAGTTCAGTACTCTCCCAGTCTGTATCTGCTCACCTCTGATAGGTGGATACCTTCACAGCCATCTTCACTGTGAACAAAACCCTTCGGTGTTACGGAGAATGCTACGGATTCTGAAAAGAGGAATTTGAACTGTCACTGCTCAGAATACGACCCTGGTCATTCAGCCCAAACAGGCTTGTCTGGTTGTACCACCCTGAGCAAAATTGACCTCGAGATTTGCAATGAAGCACCACTCACCACTCACTCGAAAAAAATGACTCATGGCAACTCCATCCGGCTTCTGAAGCGACTTCGCCAGCTTGTTATTCAACTTCTGACGTTTACCTGTCTCGTGCTTTCACTCAAGTGCCGGTCTTGCGACGCATTCGCTGGTTCTCCTGATCCTTCCAAAGCTCCTCCCCAGCAGCTTCAGAATGCACAAGGACGCCGATTATTGTACGAACCAGATGCGGCTCTTAGAGCTCGCCATCATCGTTATCGTCATGATTACGGCAAAGTCGCTTCGGTGACATCTGAAATCAACGGTGCTGATGGAAACCTCGGTGTTGCCGCTGAGGGAAGCAGCACTGGTGTCAATGCGGATCTTGATTCTCCGGCTCGCTGTTGGAGCATGTCTGAACGACGTTACTACCGATCTGTATGGCTGAATGGCCGCATGAATATGTATGGATTCTGCATGTGCTCGGATGCATGCAATGGGCTTCTACATCTGGTCGCATGCATGTGTGTGTATTGTACGTGTGCTTTCTATGTAGCACTTCGCATGGATGTGTTTCTGCATGCCTCATTCACGGTTGCATCGTGTTACGATATGGATGTTCCTAGATTCTTGTGAGTGGACATGTCTTTCCTCTCATTCCCATGTCCATATTGACATGTGTTACCTTAACATGTGTGTCTGTTCACATATCCGTGTGTTGAAATGTGTGGCTTTTAACACGCATTGACATGTCTGTCTAACGATATGTGGGTGTATTGATATCTGTCCCTTGACGTGTGTGACTGTATCGCAGTCGTACAGCAACAAGGCACGCATGTCAGAGGCCCTAGTGCAGCGACTGCAGCATTATTCCACCCTCCATGCAGCATGCACGGCTCCCGTTATCAATTGGCCAGCATTTTTCAATGATTCGTGAGCCTCTTCTCCAAGTCAACTCTAACCTGTAGAATTGATTACCATGTCCAACATCAGATGCAATGTGTTTACACCCAGCAACACTGCATAAGCCCCGCAACGCTGACTCTGCTTCCCCTGCCTCCCGTCGTGCACCATTCTCCTGCCGATGCATGAAGTTCCAAGGGCCTTCAAGAAAATGCGACCGCTGCACACGTGGCCAGGTGCAAGTACCTTCTCTGGGTTGAGCCTAACTACAGTGGTAAGTTCTTCGGACATTACCGACATAGAGCCACAATACAAGTTCCATCTCGTCCACTTGTTTCCTCTGTCATATGCACTCCCTCCCATTCCTTTCCTCTCCATCAATCCCTTTCCTCCTCTTCCTGTTCAGGTGTTCATCTCCCTCGTTTCCTCTTTCACCTGCCTCCTCCCCTTCTATCCAATTACCTCATCCTCTCCGCATTTTTACCCCTCCTTCCCCCTCACACACGACACACCCGACCCTTTCTTCCAGGCCTGGGTAACCAGCTGCTCTCCCTCGTCTCCTCCTTTACCTACGCCCTCCTCACCAACCGCACTCTCCTCATCAACCCTGAGTGCTTCCCTGCTCGTCTCCTCTGCAACCCCTTCCCCTACTCCTCCTGGGCTCCTCCCACTCTCAACAGGGGATCCTTCAAGTGAGCACTCGCATTGCTTTCTTCCACTCGCCTTGCTTTTCACTGTAATCTTTTCACCATCTGCGTTTCTCAATGTCATGTCCCTTATCTTTTTCGTGGCTCGATGAACACCTTTGTCGCCACAGAGCAGACTCAGCGTATGCCGTGAGCAAGCACAACGCCCTGCTCTCTTAAACGACCCTTTGTATCAATTCCACAGCGTCCTGCTCTCCCCATCTCCCCTTGCATGCCCTCGCTGCCCTGTTCTTCCACTCCCCCGTTCGCCCATCTCCAGCCACATGAGGCTGAGAGCTGAGAAGAGGCGTGTGGGTTACAATGCGTTTCAAGAACCAGGTGCACCTGAAGCAAACACCACGGATGACGATGCTGCTGATGCTGTGTTCAGCAACCTCAATTACTCGTGAGTCACACCAATCTTAATTTCAAATAATCACACAGCAACCTTCTGTTCCCTCACAGTCACCTTACAATCTCATGCCCTTCTCCTCACAATAATTACTCTTTGTCGTTACTTCTGCCCTCTCCCTCCCATCTGCCTTGCGCACAGAGTGAATGACACAGATCTCATATTCTTCTGCTCGCAGGAGCAAGAGAGAATCGCAGCCGTCCGTTTCCTGGCTCTGCTCACAGAGGAGTACGTTCTGCCTGGCTTGTACCTCGTGTCCGAATTCGATGTATGTGTCCTCTTCCTATCCATCTTTCTCTTCTCGTTCCCATGCCCCCTTTCTCTTTCATGCAAAGTCTGTTTTTCTTCGGAAGTGTTGCCCACATTCTCATATGATCCTTGTCAGTTGCTTTCTCGCTGTCCCTTTCTCTAAAAAAGGACCCCACCTTGCAATCTGATGTCAAGAGGCTGGTCCCGGGATACCTGTTACTGGTGCACGTGGCCCAGCAGTATGGGTCCCCTTTCTCCCTCGTCCCCCTCCTGCTGTTCTCTAATCTTCTCTACGCCCCTCTTTTTCCAGGCTGACCTGGAGCGCCTATTCCCCGACCGCCTGCCTTTGATGCACGTGGGGCGCTACCTGCTGCACCCCGCCAACTACCTCTGGGAGGAAATCACCCGCGCCTTCCGAGCCTACCTCGCCCCGCACCAACGCAGGGTCGGCATCCAGGTTCGTATGAACCCAGCCTCAGCGTTCAAGTGCTTGGTTGGAAGAGCAGGTTTGGCACCCAGGCGGGGTCCAATGCAAGATAGGAACTCTGGTAGTCTGAGTACTCTTCGTTTTGTTATTAGTAATAGGAAGCTGTCGGACCTATCCTTGAGGCTCCTCCCTCCTCAGCCGGGCCCTTTTCCTCCTTTTTCTCCGTTCTCCTCTCCCTCGCATCATCCGTGACTTTACCCCTGCCAGCAGCAACGAGGGAGAGGCCCTTGCCCGTGTCTTTTGTCTGCTCCCTCCTACTTTTTACTCCGTTCTTGTATTGCGTTCCTCTCTCCTCCTCCCTCCCGTGCATCAGATCCGTGACTTCACCACAGCCACCAGCAACGAGGGTGAGGCCCTTGCCCGTGTGCTGCACTGTGCTGTCAACATCTCCCATGGGCTGCCCCCCACACTGCCCCATGATCAGTGGCGACTTCTGGCGAGCAACCAGGTAAACAAAACAACTTAATCTGGGGAACCTCCCTGCCCTCTCTTTTGAGAGACGCTTCTCCCCAACGTCGTTCTGTTTGATGCATCATTATCACAGCACATATCACCCCAGTCTTGTCTTGTTCGCATAAAGTTTTTTCTGTTCACATCGCATCTCCGTCCATGCTGTCCTGTTCCACATCATAGAGCGCAGCCAACTCAAGTGATATGGAACCAATCTGGAAGGCAGCAGGAGCCGGCACTGTGCGCAGCGTCGGTGTGTTGGTGGCTTCACTAAAGCGCTCCTATGTGGATGCATTACACGAGGCATATGTGGAAGGGTTACCACTGGAGGGTTACAATGTTGCAGTTACCAGGTGAGAAATGCTTCTCACATCATAAAAGGGTCATTGCATCATACCTCATAGGATATCATCACTACCGCTCCCTTTTCCTTGTTCTCTGTTTTCTGAGGCACTTACAGCACGGCTTTCCCTCATGTCACTGCCTCCTTCGCTCCATGTGTGCAGTTTGAGTCATGAGGGCGAGCAGAAGACAGGCGATCTGCTGCAACTGGAGAGAGCTCTCAAGGAGATGTGGCTGCTCTCCATGTGGTGCGGTTCATGTGTTACTGATCATGTGGTACTGTTCATGTGGTTTTGTTCGTGTGGTATTGTTCGTCTATATTGTTCATGTGGTATTGTTCATTTTGTACTGTTCAAGGGTCACTGTTCATATGGAACTGTTCACTGGAATCGCTCATGGTTTTTTCTTTCTTCTCTTTTCGTGTGGATTATTTCATGCAATCATGCTTATGCCTTCAATTCTGTCCATGTGGAGTTAGGAGTTTACCTATTACCCACCATGCATCGCCTGCTTCTTTCCCACCCACCCTCTCCCCCACCCCTCCACCCCAGCGATCTGCTGCTGGTGAGTGACAGCTCCACCTTGGCTACATGGCAGTCAGGCTGGAAGGCAGGAGTGCAGCGTGCCTGTTGATACCCTCCTCACCCACCTCATGCCCCACCTCTCCCCACTCCCCTCACCCCCCAGCGACCTGCTCCTGGTGAGTGACAGCTCCACCTTTGGGTACATGGCAGCTGGGCTGGCAGGGGTGAGTCCCTTCTCCCTCAACATCGTGCCACGGATGAAATCTGACTGGCTGCACAACGGACGGCCAGCATGCGTTGCTACGACTCCAGAGGCCTGCTATCTGACTATGCTAGACAACAAGCAACAACATGTACAGGTAATGGTCATGACAAGAGTACATAGGTGGATCTGAGTTTTTTCTCCTTCACCGGATGATATCTTCTCTTTTAAATTTTAAAATATTTATAATATTGTTTCCACATTCTTCCATCTCAACCAATAAATTCGCATTCTCTTCCCGTTTTGCATGTGCTCTGCATGGTTTTCTGCTCTGTGGTTTGTATTGCACCAGTGTCCAGGCACTGTGGCGCGCTCTCCTCTCAATATAACTGCTAAGCTTAGATTTTGCCATAATTTCAAGGCTGGAATCGTTCTTGACGTTCCTAATGCTGAACAGCTTGCATCCTTTAGGCACACTTAGATTTGGAATCATCTTGTTGTTCTGATTCAAATAGCGAGTTCCAGAATCAGTGGTTTTCGCAGGGCTACCCCCGCTAGAGAGCAGGCCAGGGCCCACGATATCAGGGCAAAACATCCTGATTACCCTGATTTCAGGATGGTGTCTTAAGTTTGCCCTAGAATTTCAGAATGATGCTGAAATTTACCCTGTGACGTCAGGATGATCCTTGTGTTTTGCCCTGAAATTTCAGAATGGCAGTGAATTTTTGCCCTGAAGCGTTAGGGTGAATGTAGAGGGATTCCCTGACTCGTGGGAAGGGGAGAAAGGGTGGAGGGGGGAGAGAGGGAGAGGGAGAGAGGGGAGGAAGGAGGCTGGAGGGTGTGTGTGCTAGTTTTGTCCTCACCCCTCCCCCACCAATGTTTTTGCTCCGCCAGTAGAAGTGAAACCAGTGAACAACCTGCTCCTTCCGTGCCTTCCCCTCCATCCTCTCTAGTGCCTCGTATTTTTTGCCCTGAATAATCCATATGAATTTCTGCTGGTGCCCTGAAATTTCAGGATGGCCAGAAAATTCTGCCCTGAAGAATCAGGGCATTTCAGAGATTTTTCAAAAGTTACCCTGAGGGCTCAGGGTGTCCAAAATCCTAGCACAGGCCCTGGAGCAGGCGACCCTTATCGCCGTGGATTGGCTGGAGGCGCTGGCTATTTTGGGACACGCCCTCGTCGTGTGTGAATTTCGTTCTCTTGATATGCATAAATTACTGAATTCTGCGCGCCTCCACTTATTATATCCACGCTGTTCAATTCAATCCACTCACGAGCTCGTAATTCACATCTAGCCATGGCGAGGCGTCCGTATTTCGTTCTTCTATTCGTCCTTGCCACGCTCGCTAATCTCCACGGACAGGCGGCTTCCCCGCCTCCCGCGCCGGGCTTGCCGGCTGCCCCAGGCATGGCGTCGTCCATCTGCCCGTTAACAGGGCTGCCCCCCAAAAAACCCACCATTCCGATTGCACGTTGCCCGGCCGCCAAGGACCAATCATGCTGCGACAACTGTACGGATATGAGCACGGCTTTGCAGCTGGTAGCATCAAGTCTAAAGGACGTGGTGACTCAGACTGACCCCACCATCGCTGATGGGATCGATTCTAGCATAGCGGTGCGTTGGCAGGCTTAGAGGCGCAATTGTCGCATGATGCGGCTCTTATGCAAAATTTTCCATGGGGGCCCTCATAGGTTCAGCTCAAGAGCCTGATTCCGGAGTCATGCACTCAAAAGCCTCGTCATGAGACTCTCTTCCTCGCCTGCTCCATCTCATGTTCCTCCAGGTGTGCGATATCTTCATAGGCATGACGCCATGCTTGCAGCTCCTAGAGGACCTTGTGTGCGGGCTCTCCTGCAACCCTAATGCTGGGTCCTACGCGACAAAATCCAACACGGGGGTGATCATGAACGTGTGCTCGGATCTAGCAGACAAAGTATTCGCACAGTGCAAGGGCCTTGCTTGTGAGTACCATCAGAGTATCCATATACGTATGTGACACTAGAACCATTAGTCGTCTTGAATGTGTGCTCGGATCTGGCAGAAAGAGTATTCGCATGGTGCAACGGCCTTGAAAGTGAGTATCTTCAGGATATTCACTCACACTTATAGAGTTTTCTAGTTCTAAATATTTAGACGTTTTAAGCATGAACGTGTGCTCAGACCAAGCAGACAGAATATTCGCACGGTGCAAGGGGCTCGGATGTGAATGTCATCAGGATGTATACATTTCAAATTTCTCCAAGTTTTGATATGTCTCACAGCCTGATGTTTGCTCAAATCTGGAAGACAATGTCTTCGCATGGAGCAAGAGCCGTGCTTGTGAGTATTCATGTCCTGCTCAGGGTGCAAGGGTAACTCATATGATTATGGCAGACACATGAGCCTGCTTCTTGTTACTAGTGCGTGTTCTTATACATGTCAGACCCGCTATAAGCTTCTCTGTTACTGTCAATTGTCTTTTGCTCCACACTTTGTTTTCACTGGATTCCCCCTTTTTCCTTTCTCTGTTCACTTCACCCTTCGCTCCAAGCACAGTCGGTGACATTTCCCTTTCAGGACTGGTTACCACAGCTGACGAATTCATGAACCTCATTGTTACAAACGTGGTCAAGACACTTGGAGTCGAGGGCTTTGAGGTCCAAATATCCTCAGTAAGCGCTTCTCACACGTTCTTTTGTGCTTCCCCTTTCCCGCGCTCGTCCACTTCTCTACCACTTGTTTCTCGTGTTGTTTCTCCCTCCATCCCTTCGTTCAAGTTCATCGTGAGTTGTCTGTGGTAAGGTTTTGTTTCAATTGGGATGCCAAGCAGAGTGAGGTTTTCTTGCACAACCAATGTGCAATGCACCATACTGTTCTGAAAGGTTTTGATCTCATCTCTTAGCTTACTGACCTAATTTTCTTCTATTTCCCCCCTTTTCTTTCTCTCAAACATTCCCCCCCCCCCCCCCCGCACCCCCCACTTCACCTTTCTCTTCGTGCCCATAACTTCGTTTCCTAGTCACCTTGCTTCAACGGCACTGGCGCATATCCCCCATACACTGCCTGTTGCGATCCTCTCGACGTGCCTGCCACCTGTCCTGCCAACATCACCGCAAAATATGGCGGTCGTATTGGTCGATCTATTGATTCGGCTACGTGCCAAGCCACCACACCCCCTCCATTGCCACCCACAACTAGTACCACGGCGAACCCCCCACCCCCCCTTCCTCCTCCCCCTCCCAAAACTGGCTCGTCAGGTATTGCAGCCCGTTATTTATTTTCTAGCTATGTGATTTATGTGGCCATAGGGATGCTTGCTCCTATAGTATTTTGAGGTTTAAGTATGTGGGGATTTTTGGGATCCTCCTGTACAGAACAGACAGACATTGGCAAACCAACATTTGTATTTTGACCCAAGGAACGATTCATACAGAGTGGTGATTTGACCCAGCTATGACCTCACAAGTCATGTCACCCTAGTCTGCTGCTCTTAAGTCTTGCCTGATAAGCCCACCCCCCGGGATACACCACCACCTCTACGGATTTCTCAGCCTTCAGAAGGTGATACAATCAGCTTCCTCCTACTTTCCCCCGAAGGGATGCCCCAAATCCGGACTGTAACGTGATGGACCGCATCTCAGCTGAAGGGAAGTTGCCACGTTATTGAACCGTGGAACCAGCCAGTGTATATGCAATCTATCTGATGAAGACCAAACAGTTGCGGAGTGTTATATTTGATTGAACTTATCTCATTTATCCCAAGGTTATGTAGTGTACATTCCAGCCACACTCGAGGTTGAATAGAAATCCATGTTATCGGACTGCGAGGCCCAGCAGTTTCTAGAAACGCTTTTCTTCATTTGGTTCCAAAGGAAACACGGCAGTTTTCGGCGGGTTTCGGTCGCCATTTGGAGGTGGAGACCGTCAGAAACACCTGTCGACCACCTGAGCCTGACGGGCCTCCAAATTTTTGTTAACGGTGCAGATCTAAAGTTGCGGCAGACGATATTTGTTTGGCCGTTCAAAACTCTTTGACAGCTCGTTTGGAGCCTTCTGATCACCAAAACGCGCCCTAGCTCCTGGAACGACAGAAGATGCACTATGCAAGCACGTTCGCTGCCACTGCTGTCGGCGGTCCGTGACGACGATCGCTAGGTTACCTAGTTCTGCAATTCGACGATCTCGTCAACCGTGCCGCTACAGTGATTCTGTTAGTCACTGAGCTGGAAACGAATATTGTAGCTCATTTATGCGCTCTCGCCGATCAGTGTTTCCTTCCCAGACCTAGATAATTTATCTGTCGGTGTAGCAAAAAGAAGTTATTCTCTGGCCAAGTTCCTCATCTGCCCTTAGCTCAGCTGACGATTGCATATTCCTTCTCCTGGAGTAACAGGCTCGTATATCCTCGATTACTTGACCACAACACAGATGCGACCATAGTGCAGGGATCGCATTGTAAAGTTTGCGGCTCAGGTTGACACGAATCCTGTCGCCGAACTTTGTGGGCTGTCGCTTAAGGGACGCTAAGGTGGTACTCGGGTAGCGTGTGGGCCGTCGAGTGGAAAAAAGAAGAAAAACATAATGGCGAAAATCGCTGCCCAGTTGTTGTTCCTCGTCGTCGTCGCCACTCTCTCCGTCGCACACGTCCACAGCCTGTCGCCAGCAGCATCGCCGTCGCCGAAATATCCCGCGTGCCCGTTCACGGGGAAGCAGCCGACAAAACCGGCGGTTCCCCCGTCGCGATGCATGGCCGCTGTCGATGCGTCCTGCTGCGCGGACTGCACGGATCTGAACACGGCCCTCGGGATTGTCGGGACGAATCTTACCAGCGTCGTGTCGCAGATTAGCCCGCAGTTTGTAGGCCTGATCGACCCGAAGCTCAAGGTGAGCCGAGCCCACCGCGGGCTGTATTTTCGAGTTTTGAGTCAACTAGAAGCTCAAGGTCGGCCGAATTCGTTTGCAGTGGCTGTATGTTATCAATGCGGACTTGATGGCAACACCAGCACGTTTCGATATTGCTTCTTGTCACGACAAAACAATAATGCGAGTAGCAAAGAGCGATTTGACTAATAAAAACCTAAGACTTTTGGCAGTTCCGTCCGTCGCGTCTTGCGCACGGCGGTCGGTTTGCGTACGCGATATCTGCTGTGCTTCTGCTTTAAATCTCCACGATCTCGACTACATGTCTCATTTTTCATTGTTTCCTTTCCTCATCGTCTTCATTTCTTCCAAATGCTCAATCAACCACCTCAGGTATGCGATCTATTCACGGGTCAGGCGAAGTGCGCGCAGCTGATGGAACATCTGCTGAGCGGTTGGTTTACTGTCCATGATTCTCTTTCCCATGTTTTCTTGTTTCATCAAAACAATCACCGCAGGTGTGCGATCTATTCACGGGTCAGGCGCAGTGCGCGCAGCTCATAGAGGATCTGCTGTGCGGAATAACATGCAACCCTAACTCCGGGTCCTACGTGGCGGTTGTTCCCAACAATTCCACCACCATGACGGTCTGCACTGGCTACGCGGACACCCTCTTCAAAGCATGCAGCGGCCTTTCACGTAAGCATTCCTCTTTCAAACCTCTCCACCATGTAATCATTCCTTTCCTAACCTGTCCATCATGCAAGCAGTCGCCGTTGTTCCCAGCAATCCCACCATCATGACGGTCTGCACTGGATACGCGGACACCTTCTTTCAAGCCTGCAGCGGCCTTTCCTGTAAGTTTTTTCCACTTTCTAGGCTCGTCAAAAACAGATTCCCAGACACATCCATCCACCACCATGACTGTCCGCAGTGGCGCTCTCCCGTAAGAATTTGTTTCATTTTAGGCTCCTCAAAACTTCACTTCTGGCTCATCCACCACGAATACCGTCTGCATGCACTGGCTAAGTGGACACGCGGACACCATTTTCAAAGCCTGCAGTGGCCTTTCCCATTCTTTTTTCTCTTTTTAGTGGACTAGGGCTTGCAAAGTTGTAATGACCAATGCGAATGGTCGACCCCCTTTTTTTCCGCGCGAGCTCAACTACTCTCCCTCCCTCTCCTTTCATTCTTCCCACTCTGAGCAACAGTGGGCGATGGTATGGATCTGACGGGGCTCATCACCTCTTACCCGGACTTCATGAACATCATCGTGGCTAACGTTGTCAAGTCCCTTGGGATTGCCAACTTCAAGTTCGAATTCACTACAGTGAGTAACTGTGCTACTGTGAGTAAAACTGTATTACATCTTACCCGGACTTCATGAACATCATCGTGGCTAATGTCGTCAAGTCCCTCAACATACCCACCCAACTTCAAGTTCGAATTCACTACAGTGTGTAACTGTATTGCAATGAGTACTAGCTGTGCTACAGTGAGTAACTGCTCGTATGCAGTGCTATCACTGTTAAGAACTGCGTATCTGTTCCAAAGTAGCTGCCCCCTAAACAGTCTGTGTCACCAGCAGTGAAGTCTACCTCACAAGTGTTGGTTGCTGCAACCTTCCGCAGTCCCTTGCTTGTGCTGCTCTGCCTCTCCCACCCATCCGTCCCCCCTACCCTCCCTTTCTTTAGACTCACTGCTCCACCAGCAGCGGAGTCTACTCAACCAAAATTGCCTGCTTCAACCCTCTCAGTGTCCCCTCCACCCTATTGCCCCCTCCCCCCCTCTCCCCTGTTGCCCCCTCCCCCCTTCTCCCCTATTGCCCCCTTCCCCCCTCTCCCCTATTGTCCCCTCTCCCCCTCTCTCCTCCCGCCTCCCTCCCCTCAGACTCGCTGTTTCACCAGCAGTGGAGTCTACCCCTCCAACATTGCCTGCTGCGACCCTCTCAACGTCTCCTTTCCCCTCTCTTTCAACCCCCCCTCCCCCCTCCCCCTCCCACTCTCCCCCTTCTCCCCTCAGACTCGCTGTTTCACTAGCAGTGGAGTCTACCCCGCCAACATTGCCTGCTGCGACCCTCTCAGTGTCCCTGCCACCTGTCCTGCCGGTTCGGTCAACACCACCGAATACGCCGATCTGATTGGCCGAACCATCGACCCAGCCAACTGCGCAGCCTCCACTCCTTCCGCCCCTCCCTCCGCATCTGCCCCTGGTTCAGCCCCCCTGCCCTCCCCGCCCCCAACTGCGTCCCCCTCCACATCTCCGCCGAAGGAAACCACCCCCTCCCCACCGCCGCCTATGGTTACCACCCCCTCCCCATCTCCTGCAGTTTCTCCCCCCTCCCCTTCCCCGCCCTCGTCGTCTTCCTCTCCTCCTACCCCGCCTGCTCCTGCATCTCCCAAAACAGGCTCGCCGTCCGCTGCTTGCTATGCATCGGTGGTTAGATACCTTATTTATGGGGCTGTGGCTTTGCTTGTGCTTTAGTGTGGTGGACTAATTATTAGCTAGGGGACACACTATACGATGACACTTATTGCGTAGGCATTGTATTTGGGTAAATGCTTCTGGTTTAGTTGATTCAGCTTTTGGGGTTGAAGCAGACTTCCTATACTGTATTGATAGTCTGGTTGATGTGTATGAACATTTGCTGAAATGGAATATTTGCATGTAAAGAGGCTGTTCTATGGGGACATCAACGAATCGCGTGGTCCGTATCATAGAGGGTGGTCGCAACGAATTGCGTCTCTTAGTCGGAAATTCGCCAGACCCACTTGGCCAATAACGTTGCCCGACAACTCTGTTTCCGTGTCTTCCAGCCGTGCTTGAAGAGATACACCTCGAAAATAGGAATATTTCTTGGAGTACTGAAAACAGGCTTTCATGTACAGAACACCGCAAACTGCAATTCCATGTGCACTGCTTTCGGAATTCCAACCGTCCACGTGTATTCTCCATTTCAGCCCTAGATGCCCGACGATCCACCAGCGGGGTGCGATGCGTGCGGCACCGAATTGTGCTGCTTCAAGTGCGAAAATTGTCCCCTTCGTGTCGTTCCATCTTCCCCAATGAGTACCTTCTGTCATTCATTAGCAGAAAGTGTTTGTAACCTCGTGTTTCACTGTCTGATAGAAGAGCATGATGCTTTTGGCAATGCTTCCGCCACCCTTTTGCTCCAAACAGCTTCATTTCGACCTCTGACAACCAATCTGGATAATGTTCTGAAAATAACTTACAAATACGGGTTCTACCGAAAGCTAGGGTTTACCGGATCAGAGAAAGCTCGCCCCTTCCTGCTCCCTCCACCATCAATTTCATTTCCATTTCTTCCTTTTTCCATCCCTCGGATTCCGCAGAACGGCCATCGTGCTTGGATTGGGTTTGGTTGTCTATCTGTCTGTGTGTCTGTGCTGTCGTCCTGTCGGCTTTCCTTATTCACCCTGCACCCCTCTGCGCAACCTCTTCCTTGCGGCGCATCGCTCGCGTCGCGTCTTAAAGTACAGCCGGATATCCGCTCGCATTCGCTGCTAGCACTCGATACTGATACACCCGCTGCTGTCACCCTCAGCTGCTTTTACGCCCGCTTCTGTTAAACTCGCTACTGTCGCCCTCGCGGCGCTTGTCACACGCGCCGACCGTTCAATACGTTCTCAGACCGGCAGACACCATCATGGCCATCCAAACATCTCCCCGCAGCGCGCCGTTTTCTCGAAGTGCGTCGTCTCCTCGTACCGCGCGGTCTACTCGCAGCGCGCCGTCTCCGCTCCTCGTCGTCGTCCTCCTCGTCGCCGCCGCCCTCCATCCTTCCCCCACTCTCGCCGCGCCATCCGCAAATCCCGCTCCGCCACTACTCATCATGCCCGCCGCCCCGTCCCCTTCCGCACCCCTCATCCCCCCCGCCCCTGCCACCTCTCCGCCCACCTCCTCTCCCCCCGCCCCGCCCGCCTCCTCCTTCCCCGCGTGCCCCTTGACGGGGAAGCGTCCGCAGAAGCCCAAGGTGCCACCGACCAGGTGTCCCGGCGCTGCTGAGCTGTCGTGCTGTGATTCGTGCACGGATCTGAACTCGGCTCTGATGCTCGTGGGGTCCACGCTAGGCGATCTCGTGGCGGCTATCGACCCCGCGCTGCTGGATTTCGTCAATGCAACTCTCAAGGTGCGGTTACTGTAGCTCGTTGTGCCTCTCGTGCTTTAAACGAGTCATCTTGTGGCGGTTATCGACCCCGCGCTGCTGGACTTCACAAACGGAACAACCAAGGTGGGTTTGTGATTGCATCTCGCATGCCGCTTAACGATGGCCTCGGTTCCGCTGCGCTGCAGAATGCAAAGCATTGGAACAATGGCTTTCACGTTGAGTATACTTACACGTTGACTTGAATGGCATTCGTCAGGCTTTCAATTCGCTTCGCTGAATTGCGATTTCAAAGCATCAAATTGGGCTTTCTGTGAGGTGGTTCCGGGGTTAAATGCGACAAAATGCGCCCTGTTTGCCGGCCAGTCAAGTGTGCGCAGGCCAAGGAGGGCCTGGTGTTGGTCGTTCCCCAAACACCCTGCACGTGTAGAGAGGGTGTTTTTGAGACGTCTCAGAAACACCCTCCCTACACGTGGCTGTTTGCCGGCCAGAACAAGTGTAGGCCAAGGAGGACAAGGTGTTGATCGTTCCCCAAACACCCTGCACCCAACCGCACCTCTTCACGCGCCCTCCCCACCCTCCACTTATTCACACTCCCCCTCCCTGCTGCAGATCTGCGACCTGTTTGCCGGCCAGATCAAGTGCGCGCAGGCCATGGAGGATCTGGTCTGCGCCGCCCAGTGCAACCCCGACGCCGGCAACTACATCAAACCCGCCGCCCCTGCCGCTGCCACTGCTGGTCCCACCATGACCGTTTGCACGGCCTATGCCAAAAAAGTGTTCAACAGCTGTCAGGGGCTGTCAGGTACGTGTGATGCCGGTGCTACCGGTGCTGCTGCTAGTGCTGCTGTTACCAGTGCTGCTGCCACTGCTGGTCCCACCATGACCGTGTTCCCGGCCTTTGCTGAAAAAGTGTTCGCCAGTTGCCAGGGCCTCTCAGGAACGTGTGGTGTGGTGCCAGTGCTACCGGTGCTGCTGATAATGCTGTTATGAGAGATGCCGCTGTCACGTACGTAACGCCCTTCACTGAAGGTGACTGCAGACTTCGTTTTTATTTAGAAGAAAAGAAAGAAAGAGAAAAAAACTCAAAGTACACTTCTTTTATCAGGTGACTTTTATGATTTCTCATATTAATCTGTGCTTGCCATCATTATGTACCTTTCTTTCTTTGCTTCCGCGTTTTCTCACTTCCATCCACCCCCCCCAGTTGGTGATGGCATGGACCTGACAGCCATCATTCCAGACGCAAAGAATTTCATGTCCATGGTGGTGGGGAACATAGTCAAAGTGCTGGGCGTGAAGGGCTTCACAGCCAAAGTGGGAGCGGTGAGTGGGTGCGGATGGGTGTGGGTGGGTGTGGGAATTGCTTGACACGTGTCAGGAGAAGACACACATGGGATGGTAATGAGTGCATGGCCCCATGTCCATGGTGGTGGGGAACATAGTCAAAGTGCTGGGGGGCTTCACAGCCAAAGTGGGAGCGGTGAGTTGTGAGAGGGCATTGCCTGGCACGTGCGATTGGGTTAAGGCACATGAGAGTGCAGTGCAATTTCATGTCCATGGTGGTGGGGAACATAGTCAAAGTGCTGGGCGTGAAGGGCTTCACAGCCAAAGTGAGAGCGGTGAGTGGGTGCGGATGGGTGTGGGTGGGTGTGGGCATTGCTTGACACGTCTGAGTGGGTGTCTGAGTGTCTCATGGCACGTGTCAGGGAGTTGGTCAATCAAGCACATGGGTTACCTGGTTACCTGGTTACCCTGGTACCATGCCCCTCTGCTCATTTTCACCCCTCCCCTCCCTGCCCTCTGTCCCCCTTCCAGACCAACTGCTTCGCAGGCACAACCCAGTCCACTCCCTACATTGCCTGCTGCTACCCCCTCACGGTCCCGCCTACCTGCTGACCTATCAGCGTGTTTCCTCCCTCTGTCTCCCCCCCCTCTTTTCCAGACCAACTGTTTCGCAGGCACAACCCAGTCCCCCCCCTACATTGCCTGCTGCGACCCCCTCACCGTCCCCGCCACCTGCCCTGCTACAGGCATCAACACCACTCGCTATGCCTCCATTATCAACCGTCCAATCAACTCCTCCGCCTGCCAGGCTGGCATCCTCCCCCCGCCCGCCCCTGCCCCTGCCCCTGCCGCCCCTCCCGCCCCTGCTCCCGCCCCTCCTCCCGAATTTTCACCTGAATCCTCCCCTGCACCTGCTCCTGCTCCTGCTGTTGACGTTCCTCCCTCCTCTCCTCCCACTTCTCCTCCCTCCGCTCCTCCCCCCTCAACTCCCACTCCTCCCCTTCCCCTCACTCCCAGCCCTCCCTCCCTGGTCGCATCAACACCCCCTCCCTCCGCTCCTCCCACTCTCTCCCCCTCTCCTCCCTCTCCCTCCTCTCCCTCCTCTCCTTCCTCTCCCTCCTCTCCCTCCTCTCCCTCCTCTCCCTCAACCACCACTCCATCCCCTTCCCCTCCTCCAAAAACGTCCTCCCATCCTGCTTCCTCCTACCTTTCCCTCCTCTCCTCTCTCCTCTTTTCTGGTGTCACCCTGCTAGCACCAGCACTCCTGCTGTGACCCCCTCCCCCTCCTTCAAAACCTGCCTCTCCTCCTGCATCGGACTAGCTCTCCCTTCTCTCCCCTCCTCTCTCTCACTCTTACTCTTTGCCGGTGTCGCCCTGCTAGCACCAGCACTGCTGCTGTGAATCCCTCTTACCGGATCAGGCTTATTCTTCTTCCCCTGCATCTGCTTTTTGTTCCATGCTTTACCTTTCCTCCGCCTGCCTCCCCCTTCTGACCTTACCGTGATGCATCCGGGGAATTATACACCTCACCTCCCCTTTCATCCGTTTTTTTGGATGAGTAGTTTCAATAGTGGTCGCCCATTCTTCGAATATATTCTGAGATCGTCATTTGGATTTAGCAAAACACAGGCATACTGCGTAACAAGGTACCAATGACATGCCTATCTTGACCAAAAAAGAATGCAATTTTAAAGTACGAGAATTTTCAAACAATTTGTTTCTTGAATTCAGCATAACAAGGTATAAGGTCCAGAGTCATATGACACCTAGGATGATAACGCTTGGGAGATACTTTCTTCGGACAGCCAATCAGTCAGCCTATCAGACTATCAGACTATCAGTTCAGTTATCCGCCTAACAGTCAGTCTAATGACTTACAAAACCTTTCCAACGCCACCATGCCATTCCTGCCTGCAAACCCACAAGCACCCGAGTCACGACACATTCATCACTCGTTCCCTCGCAACCAATCACAGCCCACAAGCAACCCAAACCATGCCCAGCCAACACCCAACCGTTACCACTTACCCATTCCCACCACCCAGCAACGCCCACCACCCAATCCAATCCCGCACCAGGCCTCTCAGGGCAATGCACGCAGAAAGAAACCCAGTTCAAACAAGCACATGCAGCAGCAGGCTCCTCCTCATAGAAACACAGCGACTGTAGCCAGCAACAAGGCCGCAACAAAGCCTTAGAGACGTCTCAATAGTCAGAGCAGCAGGCACGTTAGACTCCTCACAGAAACACAGCGACTGTAGCCAGCAACAAAGCCGCCGTCGCCGCCGCCACAGCAGCAGAAGAGGTGGCGGGAGCGGCCTTGGAAGGAGGAGAGGGAGGAGGAGGAGGCCTAGTGCCATTCTCAGAACCGGTCAGCGAGCCTTCCGGGGAAGAAGGCACAGCAGGAACAGGCGGAGGAGGAGGCAGAGAAGGAGAGGGGGAACTGGCAGGAGCGGGAGGTGCAGGGGTTGAACCAGGAGCAGCAGGAGCAGGAGGAGAGGGAGAGGAGGAGGGGGCGGAGGCGGAAGGAGGCGGGGGAGGGGAGGCGGAGAGGCAGAGAGAGGAGTTGATGGTTCGACCGATGGCGTCGGGGTATTTAGAAGGGTCTATGGAGCCTAGGGGGCAGGAGGAGGGGAGAGAGAGCGGGTCGCAGCAGGCTGGGGTGGCGGGGACGAGGGGGGACCCGTTGAAACAGGAGGTCTGGCGAAGTGAGTGGGGTGGACGGGGGAGGGGAGGGGGGGAGTGGGGGCCGGGTGTGGTTATGAGTCAGAATGTCAGCCTGAGAACGAGTGGTTTGGTTGAGAGTGTGAATGGGCGTGCCAACTTGATCCAGATGTATGTGCATAGCTGCACGTGCAAGTGTATAGCTACATGTGCATGTGCATGTGTTACACCTAAGTGGAGATGTGAATGTGTGCATGTGCATTTGTTGATGCATATGTACATTCATTGGCGTGTTGTTATTGTACCTCTTGCACTGTGATGTTGAAGCTACTAATGCCCATGGCGACGCCAATGATGCTGCTGACAACTGTGCTGAGGAGCGTGGCAGCATCCGGAATGGTTGACTCGAGCGTCATGTTCCCAACTGCACATAACAGGGTTATAAAGGGTACACGTTGAGGGGGGGTGATAGGGAGGCGAGTGTGCTAATCTCGAATCTTGCATAGAAGTGAACATAAAAATGTGTGCACACACATGAACGCACTCATCCTCACTAGCAAATGTGAACCCACACACACAAATATACCCGCACACATCCTCACAAAAACATAAACATGCATACATGCATCCTTCCATAAGAGCACAATATTTCGGCATTTCTTACTTCTAGTTCCCTTGCAAACTCCATAGGCGAAGGATGCATAGCTAGGGCACACAGCCATGGTGACAGCACCGTCTGTTACTGATACATATCGACCCGCATCTGCATGCACAACGACATAGAAAAGGAGTTATGATTTTGAAATACGAACATGTATGGCAAGAGACAAAAAGTATGAAAGTCTGACGGAAAAAAAAACAAAGAAAACGTAAAAGCATTGATAGCAAGTATTGAAGCAAGATATATTGCTACATAATTATTTTCATTGAGCTGTAACGCACCTGGGTTACATGTGAGTGCGCAGACCATATCCTCCACTGATTGTTCGCACATGAGGTCACTGTAGAGATCGCAGAGCTGAACAGGCAAGAGACGAAGCGAAGCAGGGAGACGAAACAGAGGCGAAAGAGAAACTCGAATTTCGCCAATGAGTAAGAAACGTATAACATAATGCCAAAAAGGCATCGCTGTTGCAATCAAGAAACAACAACGTAATGCAGTTGGCATAGGAGTACGTGCAGAATAATGACTCTCTGCAGAGATACATTTCTTGTCCTCGGTTCCCACCTTGAGACTGGGATCCACGGAATTCGCTGGGCCAATGCGCTTCACCACATCTTCCAGCTTCGTAGTGACGAGTTTCAACGCGCCATCAATGTCCTGGCAGGCGGTGCAGCAGGAGAGATTCGCCGCAGCAGGGCAGCGCGGCATGGCGCTGCCAGGCGGGTACGGGCTGTTATTGGTGAAGGGGCAGTTGGGGAAGGTGGTAATTGGCGGGGGCGACGGGGGGGCGGAGGAGGCAGGCGCGGGGGCGGACCCAGGGGCGGAGGCGGACGGGGGAGAGGTGGGGGAAGGAGCGGAGGTAGAGCCAGGGGCGGAAGGGGGGGCAGCAGGAGGAGGAGGGGGAAGGAGGCTGCCCATGCAAGACTGGGAGTCAATGGTGCGGTTGATCAGATCGGAAGGGAAGTTAGAGGGGTTCAGTGCGGTTGCAGGGCAGGTGGAAGGGGCGGCGAGGGGGTCGCAGCAGGCAGTGTAGGTTGGGTAAACCCCAGTGCCGTTGAAACAGGAGGAATTGGAATCGTCAATGGTTAAGTTGGTAACACTCGATCCCATGAGTTTGGTCATGTTGCCCCCGAATGATGTGAGGAGGGAGGAGGCATTGGGAAAGAGCGCAGAGATAGAGACGTTGTTCACTGCAAGGGGTAAAAAGAGCGTGGGGAGCGGGGGGAGAGGGGGGAGGAGGGAAGGTGGGAGGTGGGAGAGGGGTGTTGATCAGAATTGTAACAAAAAGGACGCGCGGAGGGAAGAGGCGCTGGGGCAGAGCTTAGAAAAAGAGATTTGCCTTCTGAAGAATGGTGCAAAATGTCGGTTCGGACCAGGGGAGAGGATAAAAAAGGGAGAACCTAATGCAACCTGCAGGTAATGCGGAACATAGCACTTACTCCACACAGGGCTGCACGCGGTGTAGAGGGCGTCAGCAAAGGCAGTGCACACGCGCATGGTGGTGCCACTTATGTAAGCGCCAGAATCTGGGAATTAATCACACAGCCACGCGGGGGAGGAGGGGAGCAAAGGGGTGGGGGAAGGTACGGGCGGAGAAGAATAAGTCTCTTATATGAGTATTACGAATGTAGAGTGTGCGAATTCAAACAATATGTCGTTTGTTATCCTGCAACCAACAACGCTATCGTCTGACTGTACGTGACCCGGGTTACGTGTCGACGCGCAGGTTAGGTCTTCCAGGAGTTGCAGGCACCGCTGCTACCCCTTGAACCCCTTGCACACCCCCAGGCCCCGGCCATTGTTTGGTTACATTTGTATTGAGGTGACTTTTGAGTCGACTCAAAAGTCAACCCCAGGCCCCGGCCATTGTTTGGTTATATTTGTATTTTTTCTCCACATCGTTTCCATTTGACTCATCACTTGGGTTACACGACGACTCGCGGTTGAGGTCCTCGACCAGCTGCAGGCACCGCTGCTGGTCTTCGAACCCCTTGCACACGCCCGAGCTCGGGTTTTTGTTTGGTTATTATTAAATAGTTTTCAACACATCGTTTTCATTTGACTCACTTGGGTTACACGATGACGCGCAGTTGAGATCTTCCAGCAGCTGCAGGCACCGCTGCTGCCCTTCGAACCCCTTGCACACGCCCAGGTTCGGGTCGACTGTAGCGCCGGGGCTGAGCTCCGCTACAAGCGCGCTCATGTTCGCCGACGCCAGCTGTAGCGCGCCGTTCAGATCGCTACACGCCGGGCAGCAGGAAAGATTCGCCGCGGCCGGGCAGCGGGCAGGCGGAATAAGCGCAGGAACGGAGGGGTAATTACCCGTGAAGGGGCAGATGGGGTAGGAAACGGGGGAAGCAGGGGGTGGGGGCGGAGCGGAGGGGAGCGACGCGGGGGCGGGAGCGGGAGCTGGAGGAGGAGACGGGGGAGCGATCCCCATGCAGCTATTAGAGTCAATAGTGCGATTGACTACCGATTGGTACTTAATAGGGTCGAGGGATGTGACAGGGCAGGAGGGGAGGGAGGAGTAGGGATCGCAGCACGCCGTGTATTGCGGGTAGATGCCCGTGCCGTTGAAACAGGCCGACGAATCGTCGATCGCGAATGTGGTAACCAGAGATCCCATTATTTTCGTCACATTGCTGGCGAAGGACGCGAGGAGGGAGGAGGCGTCTGGGTAAAGCTGCGACAGCTGAAGCTTGTCCACTGGCAAGAGGCAGGGAGAACGGATGGGAAGGGTGGGTAAGGACGCCGGAGAGAGAAGGGAAGTGTGAGTGTGATGAAGGATAGACAGTGGGAAGACTAACATTTACTCTACACGAAAATGCACACTGTTCTTAAGGAGCCCGAAACATCTCTCACATTATGGCGCATCTCGGAAATCACGTCAACTAACACTCACTTCGTACGGCGCTGCGCGCCGTTCGATGGACTAAAGAAACATCTCACATGACCTGGAAACAATGTGGGACATAAGCCGTCAGCCAGCCAACACTTACTCGTTTCGAGACGTTTCAAAACTAGAGGACATCTCTCACACGGTTTGGAAACAATGTGAGTCATAAGCCGTAAGCCAACCAAAACTTACTCCACACGGGAGTGCACGCGTCGAAGAGGGTCGAGGCGAAGGCGGAGCATACGCGCATGCTCGTGCCGCTGATGTACGCGCCGGAATCTGCGCAGCAGGACGACGCACGGATGTATGAGTGCTGGATGATACTTAGTGGAAACAATGTGATTATTAGTTTGTTCAAAATGTTATTATGATATATCTTCCGATATTGCTACTTCTTTGTCGTTCGTTTAACTGCGACTTTGTAATACACGTCAAGTATATTCCCTTATTCGATTTTTCTTTTTTTGCTTCCCGGTTCTGATACTCACGAGGTTCTTTCTAACCCACCTGAGTTGCAACTCGACGCGCAGTTGAGGTCCTCGAGAAGCTGTAGGCACCGCTGCTGCCCTTCGAAGCCATTGCACACACCCAGGTTCGGGTCGACTGTAGCGCCGGGGCTGAGCTCCGCTACAAGCGCGCTCATGTTCGCCGACGCCAGCTGTAGCGCACCGTTCAGATCGCTACACGCCGGGCAGCAGGAAAGATTCGCCGCGGCCGGGCAGCGGGAAGGTGAGACGGAAGGAGCGGACGGCTGTAGCCCGGTGAACGGGCAGGACGGCGGAGTTGCGGGGGGAGGCGGAGACGGACTGGCGGACGGGGGACTGGCGGAAGGAGTCGGCGCGCTTTGTGCTGCGGAGAAGTCAAGGCAGGTGAGGGCGAGGAGGAGGAAAGGGAGAAGCAGCAGCGTGGGGCCATGCGGAGAAGCAGAGTGACGGCGGTGCGGCGCAGACTGCGGACGATGTTGCCGCGCGGTGACCATTTTGAGCGTCGATCTTCTTCGGTTCGCGCTGTACTCGCGCAGGTTAGCTGAGATCTCGTTCGTACAATGAGTTCACTTCTTTTTCCAGTTTTTGCTGTGCGAGCCGATCTACTAGTTCCCGAAACGCGCGAAGAGAAGGGACGGTTTCAGTAGAAGGGCCGGCACAAGGAGCAGCAATGTGGTGACGACGGAGCTGCTGGGGTTCCAACGAGTTTACGATGAAGGAAAGATGTGTGTAGGCCAGAAGGGCTCTAATTCCTGAGCAACTTGAATGTGCTGTACTGACGAATTCGTTTATAATGTTGCCAGGCGTGTTCAGATGTAATTGTGGCTGTCTGGTGCTAGATCTGTTACAACAATCGCGAACCACAAATTGATCACTCGCTGGCTGCGAATACAAACTCGACACCGTTTGGATTTCCTAGCGCCTTCACCGACCATTTGGTCTGTATAAATAAGACCTCAACCAAACCTGCATCTTGGGCTGGGTCGGGTTCTGTACCTTAGCTGTTTCCTTGTTATCTCCCTTCAAACCAATGCGGCACGAATGTCATGTTAATGCGCTGCGGATCTCTGTCGCGTCTCGGCCGCCTCTGAATCATGATGGGTTGAGCTACCCCTTCTGAAACTGGCGAAACTGGTAACGACATCAGGTAACAGACCCAGCGAGACATTTTCAGCAGATCGAGCGAGATCAGTACCAGTCGATCCTGGCATGTGATTGGTGTATGATCCCTACTGTCAGGGAAAGTGGAAGCTGTGGTTCGCCGCCATCGGTGAGGGAATACGGATTGTCGGTGTGAGCACGAATCGCCTGCATTGCCACTTCGAGTCAGAATCACTGCATACGTGACAGTCCTCTGACACCACACTGCACTCACTCTGGCACAAGCATTTTCCTAAGTGTATTGTTTAGTTTTACTATGTTATTCAGCAGTGAAAAAGGTAGTACGTTGTATATTTTCCATATAGGCACTGTATAAGAAGAAAAACTAATAATTCACAAAATTTTACATGAATATAAATCTCCATATTTTTTACTGCAAAATATTGGTTTCTCTGCAATGCAATGCAATATCGAATAAGTTTCACTTTTTGCTCCTTACTGTATAACCTCCAGTCATTTCCAACTGTAATTTCTTGCTGCTATTTAGCGCAATTGGTAAAATACAGGCCCTGTCACGAGTCCTCCGCCTGGTAGTCCAGTCAAGGACTTGTTCAATGTTCACCAATCAATCATCGCACCCAGAATTTGCAGAAATTCAGAAAAGCGGGAAGTGCAACAAGCCGCGTCAGCCAGCTTCTTTGCACTCTGCAAATGCGGCTCGGCATGACTTGTGGTGTCGCACAACCGAATCCTGTCCGCCGCCAGCGGGTTCAGTCGGTTTTTGTTGAGCCAACTAGTTCCGTTTAGACTTGGGTCGTATGGTCGCCAAGACTCGCTAAACTCTCGGTGTGAACCCGAAACGCCAGGCACGTACGAACCGCTAAGCTTTGCTGAGGGTAGAAGCGTACTTCTGGATTAATGAGAGTTCGAGTTTCCGACGCATGGACTCCATCGTCAAACCGAAGACGAGGGCTCCAGCCAATTCTGACATGCTTTTCTCCAGCACAACCATCTCTCTCGATTGGTTTGGAGCCAGAACTTGAGAGGCTGAGGTGCCCCAAAAGTTGCCCTGAAATTTACGGGCTTAGAGCAAACCTGGCACAGAAATCAGGGCTACCAGCTTTTCTGCACTTTCGCTAAGGAAAACCTACATCTCTTCGGGTCCGTATCCTAGGCAAACTACTAAGAGCCAGCTAGGCAATAGTCTGAGGAAAGAAACATGTCGATGGATTTGACGGGGATGGGAAAAGGAAGTAGGGGAGTGGCTGGGAGGAGGTGGGGGCTGGTAAGCAAATGGGAGCGAGGGAGGTATTAGTATGGGACGATAGGGCTAGCCGCGGGATCTGCACTTGACATCCGGGTTAGGCCCACAGCCAGCACTTTGCGGGAAAGGGCTGCCTTCAAAGTCAACCCTTAAAAACTCGGAAGCTGGGCCGAACCCAGCCTTTAATGTTCAGGGCATTAAGGGCATTTGCTCTTGAATCGTCAACCCTGCTCTCGATCTAGTGGAGGGAGGGAGGGAGTTTCATTACCTTGCCTCATCACTGAATTTCGAGCCAATCGTATTCTTGCCCTGCACAGCACATATTTCCCAACCCCCAGCACGTATTCTATTCAACAGACTAGGACGGCAGCAAGCAGGGACTCTCTAAAATGATCTCACACGTCGCATTTAGAACTTAAATCTATCGAGGAACGAAAACCTTGTTCTCACTGTAGGAGCTCGTGAGCTCGAACCCAGTCCAATAGAGCTACACAATTTAGTGTATTTAGACTGTAGCCTTCATCGCAAAAATGCGTCCACGAAAGCTTCTCTCGTGCGTCGCTCTACGAGTAGTCTTCGGCGACGCACTAGCCTCCCCAATTAAAACCGGCATCGGGGCCGCACTTATTTCTCGAGCCGCGCTACTTATTTCTTTCCTCGTCGTAATTTACTTCCCTACGTCTTTTGCGCAGCCCGCACCTATTCTCACCCCTCAAATATCCGCGCTAGCCAAGCCCTCCGCTTCCGTGCTTCCGCCAGCGCTCTCCCAAGCGTGTCCGCACACGGGGCTTGCGCCGTCCGCAACCGCCATCGCGTCAACCCGATGCCCCGCGGCATCCGCGCAATCGTGCTGCGGAGCTTGCGCGGATCTCAACGCCGCGCTCGGACTTGCCAGTGCGAGTTTGGGCGACCTGGTGTCGCTCGTCAGTCCCGAAGCGCTGAGCTTCGTGCAACCCAATGCTAAGGTTCGCCATTTCTTCATCAATTAAGGCTGTTAATTCAGCATTTTACTGTTTATTACTGTAGCTGGTAATCATGCCGCCTGACGTTCCAAGTTTGGGCGACCTGGTGTCGCTCGTCAGTCCCGAGGCGTTGAGGTTCGCGCAATCCAACCCCAAGGTTCGCTCGCATCCTGAAACACGAAGCAACTGTATATATTGCAATTTAAAGGAAATTACTGTGGTTGTGGAATGTGGCGCTAGAAGCTCATTTCTCCCACCCACGGTTTCCCCGACCATCCCCTTTCACAATCCCTCACCCCCTCTTACCGCTTCGCATCGCCTCGCACCCCCCTCACCCCTGCTCCTTTCCTCCAGGCGTGCGACGCGTTCATCCGCCAGAGCAAGTGTCTGAACCCGCTGGAGGATCGAAACAGGAGCTGTCAAAAGCGGACAGGTGGGCTGCGGATGTTTTGAGACGTCTCTAAACACCTCTCCCCCTCCCCGCTGTCTCCTGCCCAACCCTCCACAACCCTTTTCCCCCCTTTCAACCTCCGTCCGCCAGGCGTGCGACGCGTTTATTGGCCAGAAAAAGCTCATGTAGCTGCTGGGAACTTCCTTTGTTTTCACCATCTCCACCGTTGCCTCTCAACCCCTTTTACCCCGCCTTACCCATCTCAACCCCGTTCCTGTCTTCCAGGCGTGCGACGCGTTCATCGGGCAGACCAAGTGCCTGCAGCTGCTGGAGGACCTCACCTGCGCGCTCACGTGCAACCCAGGTGGGTTCAGGGTGGTGGCATGTACATGGTAAGGTGTGTGAGTCGGTGAGGAGAGGGTTGTCTGCAGGTGCTGGAGTATCTGAGCTGCGCGCTCACGTGCAACCCAGGTGGGTTCCAGTTGGACTTTTGAGTCGACTCAAAAGTTTCTGAATGCGGAGGAGGTATTTACGTGGTTATCAAGTAACATGCAACGCAGGTGGTAACCGAGTGTCAAACTCAGATATTTTATGTTTCTCGTCCTCCCGTCCTCATCATCGCGTTGCTGTGCGATCTTAAGCACATGCGCGCGCGTACGTATGTGAGCGACGCTGCTGCACGCATGTCACTTGTCAGTCGACCCAAACGGCATTTGCTTTCCCCCTCCATGTCTCTTCCACGCAACCATGTGCGCACATGAGCAGATGCGAGTGCGTATGTGAGCGCAACTGCAGCAGACACGGTGATCAGCGTGTGTGACGCGACTATGAGTCGACAATGAGGCCATATTCCCTTGTCCCTTCCACCACCCCACTGTCTCGCTGTGCGTTCCCCCATGAGCAGATGCGGGCGCGTATGTGAGTGCCACTGCAGCAGACATGGTGATCAGCGTGTGTGACGCGACTATGAGTCGACTCAAGTGTCCTCCCCTCCTTGCAACCACCCTACTGCCTCCCTGTGCGCACATGAGCAGATGCGGGAGCGGATGTGAGCGCAACTGCAGCAGGCACGGCGATCGGCGTGTGTGACGCGATGATGAGTCGACAATGAGGCCATATTCCCTTGTCCCTTTCACCACCCCACTGACTTGCCGTGCGTCCCCCCATGAGCAGATGCGGGCGCGTATGTGAGCGCCACTGCAGCAGGCACGGCGATCAGCGTGTGTGACGCGTTTGCACAGGCGGTGATGGAAGACTGCCAAGGCATTGACCGTGAGTGACTCTCTTGACTTGCGTTGACTCTGAGTGACTCTCTTGACTTGCGTTGACTCTGAGTGACTCTCTTGACTTGCGTTGACTTTGAGTGACTCCCTTGACTTGCCTCCTGTGCGGCCCGTTGCACAGGCGGTATTCCTGAGTCGAGTGGCGCCACACCCACATTCCGCCCCCCTCCACGCATGTCAACCCCACATTCCGCCTCCTCCACGCATATCAACCCCCCTGCCCGCCCCCCTCGCTTCTTTCCAGTGGCACAGGCGGCATCTCTGAGTCGAGTGGCGCCACACCCCTCCTCCTCCACGCAATAAATCCGTCCTCCCTCCCCCTTCCTTCCCCTTGCCTTTCCTCCCTCTCCACCTGCCAGTGGGGGAGGTATCCATGAGTCGAGTAGCGCCGGACCCATCGTCCTTCATGAGCATAGTGGCAGCGAGCGTGACATCACTCATGGGCGCGGCTGACGTCACCATCACTGTAGATAACACTGTGAGTGTATTGCTCTCCACACTTAGTTACTCACTAGAGGTCTCTGAAGTCTCAGTGGTTGGAGGTATGAGGGTTCCCACGGGGTGACTGGCCCAGGACCCTTCCCCTCCTCCGGCATGTGTCAACGCACGGGTCTTGACCTCCGCTACCCTGCATGCTGTGCTATGACCCTCCCTCCATGGTTGTAGGTACGAGGGCTCCCGCGGGATGACTGCTCCAGGACCCGTCCCCTCCTCCGGCATGGGCATAGTGGCAGCGAGCGTGGCAGCACTCATGGGCGTGGCACAAATGGTCGCGGCTGACTTAACTATCACTGTTGACAACACTCTCAGCACCTTGCCTGTTCTCTCTTCCCCCCGATCTCTTTCTCCCCCCATACTGTAACCCCCCTTGTCTCGTGCAGGGTTCTTGTGTCAACGGCACGGGTCTCCACCCCCGCTACACTGCCTGCTGTGCTGTGACCCTCCCTTCATACAAAGCTGGCTCACCTACTGCTCGTTCTGCACTCCCTTCCTCCCCCTCCACAGCCCTTCAGAGATCTTGTTTCAACGGCACTGGTCTTTACCCCCGCTACACCGCCTGCTCGTTTTTCCACCCTCCCTCTCCCTCACCCCATTTTCTCCCCCTTTCTCTTCACTCCTTTCAGAGATCTTGCTTCAACGGCACGGGTCTTTACCCTCGCTACACTGCCTGCTGCGACCCGCTCACCATCCCCCCCACATGCCCTCCCAACTCAATCAACTCCTCTTACTCCTCCCTCTCCTCTCGCTCCACCACCTCCTCCTCCTCCTCCTCTCTCCCCTCTCTCACCCGAGTCACCGATCCAGATGCGTGCATGCTCGGCACTCTCCCCCCAACCTCCCAACCTCCCGAACCTGCCCCGTCCTCCGAGCCTTCCCCAGGCCTCTCGCCCGAGCCTGCGCCGCCCCCTCCCGGACCTGTCGTCTACCCTGCATGTCCGTTCACTAAAGAACCCCCAACAATCCCTAAGAGGGTCCCAACTCGCTGCCCTGCTGCTGCAAATAAGACGTGCTGTGCCGACTGCAGTGACTTAGGTTTGGCGATGAGGCTCGTGGGGACGAACCTTGAGGATGTTGTGGTGCTGATTGATCCGAGCCTGGTGGGATTCGTAGACTCGGGCTTTAAGGTACGTGTGTCTCTTCAATTCAACTACATTTCTTATCATATTGTATCCTATCCTATAATCTCATATTTCCTGTGTTATTACATCTCTGCTTCTAGCCTTTAGGTGTGTGACATGATCACAGGATGTCAGATGTGTATCGTATCATACCATATCATATCTTATGATATCGTATTTCCTGAGTTGCTGCATTTCCCCTTGTGTCCTGCAGATGTGTGACATGTTCACAGGCGGTCAGATGTGCGGGCAAGCCTTAGAGGATCTGCTGTGTCCTCCCAAGTATGACTGATGATGCCTGCAACCTCTCACATGCTTGGCTTTAACCCCCTTGCTCCCTGCAGATGTGTGACATGTTCACGGGCAGTCAGATGTGCGGGCAAGCCATAGAGGATCTGCTGTGCGCCATCACATGTAACCCAGGTGAGATGGCACGTAAATGACATGTAACTCAGGTGAAATGGCACGTAAATGACATGTAACTCAGGTGAAATGGCGCGTAAATGACATGTAACTCAGGTGAAATGGTACATGGATGACATGCAACCCAGTTGAGATGGTATATACATGACATGTACGAAAAGAGTGAGCTGCCAGCCTGCTGCTCCTGCTGACTGTACCGTCTACGTTTCTTGCAATTCTGAACAGCGACCTGTACTCTCTGCTACGTGATGCGAAATTCAACGGCGTGCCGTTTCCTATTGTATGTGACTATATCGAACGTTGCACGCTGACCATTTTATGTGACTATATCGAACGTTGCACGCTGACCATTTTATGTGACTATATGGAATGTATGTTTCCCTACTGTGCAGATGCGGGTAACTACACCCGGGCAACAGCGGACGCCACAACAATGTCCGTCTGCGCTTCTTACGCTGAGTTCTTCTTTGGCGTCTGCCAGGGCATTTCCAGTTGAGTGCAGTGTGGTTGAGTGCTGTGCGGATGAGTGCAGTGCGGTTGAGCGCAGTGCGGTTGAGTGCAGTGGGGCTAACTGCAGGCTTTGTCTGGTACACAACACAGATCGCTCTGCACAGTGCGACAAACATGGCCTGCATAGTGTTGAGATGGAATTCTTCTCATCACCACGCAGGCCATATTCAAATTATACCACTGTGCAAATTCCTTCTCAACCATCAACTAGCACCGCTCTCCTCATAACCACCCCCTCCTCCGTGCTCTCCCCGTTCCCCCCTCCCCCCCCCCTCCCCCTCTACCTGGCAGTCGGAGCTGTCCCCCTCAGCGCTCTCATCACCTCTTCCGAGTCGTTCCTTAATGCCATCGCAGCCAGTGTAATGAAGGCCATCGGCTACAGTAACATTAACATCGTTGTAGAGAAGGTACAGTGCTGCATTTGCATCTAAATAGTGTTGTATGCGCACACTCGCATCCCTCAGTGACCACTTAATCTCGATAAGAGGTTATCTCCTCTTTCCGTTCGTGTACATCCAATAAAACTACCATTTCGTTTCCTCATGTGCTCCTTATTCCATCCACCAGGCATCCCCTTTTTTGTTTCCTTCCATCCACCTGCCGCCATATTCCCCTCCTGCAGAAAGCATGCTTCAGTGGTTCTCAGGTGTTTGCTCCAGTAACCGCATGCTGCGACCCATTCGCCATTCCCCAGAACTGCCCTGCCGGCGCTGTAAATGCGACACAATACAGCGATCTGATTGGCCGCGATATTGATCATTCTGTGTGCAAGACCCCTCCACCCGTTCCTCCTCTTCCTTCACCTCCTCCCCCTCCTCCCACTTCTGTGTCTGGGGCATCGGCTCCACCTGTCCCTTCCCCGCCGGCCGGCCAATCACCAGCTCCGCCATCACCTGGAGAGCCTGTTGGACAACCTCCCCCGTCTCCGATGCTTGCAATCGCACAAGTACCACAAAAGTCCACCATTTCTTTGGCAAATAATGCAGCCACTATTAGCGCGTCTTGTTTGTTGAGTATTCTGGGTCTTATTTTGTTATGAAACTGCTATATATACACGCATAACAACTATTTAGGGAGCAGTGAATAGCTTGGCTTGTGTTTGTTTTCTACAGTAGTCTGGTCTTGAATATTTCTTCAATCATCAAAGGTAGTATCGAGGAAGTGGATGTCGAGTTAATCCTTTATCTTGATTGGAAGAGGCTCGAAAGAATCGCGCAGTCTCGATCAACCTGATCTTCCACCCTTTCCATTCCCCACGGACCACCACGTCGGTTCGGCGCGTTTCTATTCGATATCTGCAGAGCAGACTGTGTCGCCGAACTCTCCGTACAGTAACCCTACTCAATTCAATTCGCATCGCCACCGAATCTCCCACCCACTGTCGTGGACGCACTTGCGCCTCCCACCCACAGTTGCCGCTGTTCATTGACGACGCGATCAGGAAAGCTTTGGGCCGCGAGGCAGTCTTCTTATTACTGTACAAGGCTTCTTCTTTTGGCAGATTTATCTCCGCTGAGGTGTTCCGCCGTGTTTCTGTGTGCTTCCTTTTGCGACTCTTCAGCGTTTCGCTTGATCGCCATTGTCGTGCTGCATTACGGAACGTCGGTGCCAAGCGAGAGCAATTCTGGCCCAGCCATTGTCGGGGAACCGTACTACTTGCACACTAAACGCCGTCGCCGGAAGCACGCACCCCCTCCCGTCGTCGCCGCCGTGTCGTCAGATCGTCGCTTACTCGCACTACCGTTTCCCGAGTATCATGGCGCCGCTATTCCCGCGGCACGCGCTGCTCGCGGCGGCCGTGCTGTCCTCTCTCCTTGTTGCACTGGTAACTTGTTCCGCCGCAGCGACTCCACCCGCGGCACCGGCATCCGCTAGCGGCGCGACTGCGAATGTGTGTCCAGCAACGAAGCTTCCGCCGACTGCGCGGAAGACTCGGTCTCTTCGCTGCCCCGTGGCGGCAACCGCGTCGTGCTGCGCGGAGTGCGCGGACGTGTCGGCCGCGCAAATGATGACCGGCGCAAACCTTTCCGCCGTGCTCACGAATATCATACCCTCATTCGCAGGCCTCGTCGAGCCGAGCGTTAAGGTACGACCCTCTTTGACCCTCGTTGACCCTCGTTGACCTTCGCGTTGACCACGTTTGCGTGCTTCAACGAGGTGTCCCAGGTGCTGCGCGCTGCGAGGACACGCGTAGCGCGCAGACACGGAAACCCGTCGTTACGACACGCGTTCTCCCACGTACCCTTATCGAGCGACGATCGTGCTTCCTCTCTAATTACCGCGCAGGGAGTGAAATTCCCTCATACAACCACTTGGGTCACCTAGCTCTGTTCACCAGCATAACGTGCCTTCACTCTAATTTTCAAGGGCCCCTTTTTTCCAAGTTGCTTTTTGTCAGGCCCCTGGGTTTAGGGCTTGCTTTTCCCCCGCTTCGTTTCCCCTTGCTCTGTACCCCCTGCCCGAACTTCTGTTCTCCCTACCCCTGTTCCCGGTGCGTGATTGTAACAGGTGTGCGACCTGTTCGTTGGCCAACTGGAGTGCCCCTTTCTCGTCGAGGCGATCGTGTGTGGCGCCAACTGCAACCCTGGTTAGTGCGAACGTTCGCGTCTACACCTTCTTGTTACAAATGAGATTTTGGTGAAGTCAGTTGTTTTCCTTTCACGGGAGAGTACATGCTATGTAAAAATTCCGGGCAGAGTGTTCGGAACGACCGACGCATGAAAATCACATCTTGTTTTACAATTATCACATTATTCTCACATTCTAAAGCCCTAAAGGTTGCGCACGAATGTAGCAAAATACAGGGCTACTTTCGCCAGACAAACTTTCCAGCAAGAGGCCAGCTCAGTAACGATTCTAGTTCGCCGGGCCCACTCACCTCCCTTACTTTCTTCCTCCCTTTGTGCTGCGGACGTGGCAGATTCGGGCAGCTATGTGAACAGCACCAAGGACGGCGCGTCAGTCATGTTAATCTGCCCGAAATTCGCTGACCGCATCTTCAGTGCCTGCAAGGGCATCAAACGTGAGTGACAAGCAACTCCATAGCTCCTCTTGCCATCATATTCTGAGACCAGATGACTCAAACACGCCCAAATTTAGCTGACCGCATCTTCAGTGCATGCCAGGGCATTACGTGAGTAACAAGCAACCTCATAACTCCTCTAACCGCCTTGGTACCCCTTCCTCCCCACTGCTCCTCTTTCTATCCCATGCCTCCTTTTTCCAACCCTGACCATCCTTGTACCTCCTCCCCTCCCCCTATCTTGATACCTCCTTTTCCCTGCTTGATCCCTCCCCCTCTGACCACCTCATGTCTCGTGTATCCTATTCAAAACATCCCCACCTTACCGTCACTATTTGACACTCTCGTGAATGACCTTCCTCAAGCACCGGCCTTCACCGCTTTTCACCACCGTGGACATTCCCTGTCTTCCCTGCTAGCTACTCCCTGCAGTGGTTTTGTGTGTGCTGAGCGACCTGATAGCGGATGCGCAAGCATTCATCGGCACGGTTATTGTGAACACTGTCTCAAGCAATCTCCCCGCAAGCGCCACCCTTCACCGCTCCAAACCGCTCTTCACCTGGCCCTTCTCTTGCCGTCCCTTCCCTGCAGTGGGCACGTATGTGCTGAGCGATCTGATAGCGGATGCACAAGCATTCATCGACACGGTTATTGTCAACACGATCAAGGTGGCTGGAGTGCCCAACCTCAACGTCACAGTCAGCAACAGCGTGAGTGGGATGAGAGTAGTACACAGTAACAAGTGGGAGCGAGACGAGAGGGAGTGTGAGTGGGATGAGAGTAGTACACAGTAACAAGTGGGAGCGAGACGAGAGGGAGTGTGAGTGGGATGAGAGTAGTACACAGTAACAAGTGGGAGCGAGACGAGAGGGAGTGTGAGTGGGATGAGAGTAGTACACAGTAACAAGTGGGAGCGAGACGAGAGGGAGTGTGAGTGGGATGAGAGTAGTACACAGTAACAAGTGGGAGTGAGACGAGAGGGAGTGTGAGTGGGATGAGAGTAGTACACAGTAACAAGTGGGAGCGAGACGAGAGGGAGTGTGAGTGGGATGAGAGTAGTACACAGTAACAAGTGGGAGCGAGACGAGAGGGAGTGTGAGTGGGATGAGAGTAGTACACAGTAACAAGTGGGAGTGAGAGGAGAGGGAGTGTGAGTGGGATGAGAGTAGTACACAGTAACAAGTGGGAGCGAGACGAGAGGGAGTGTGAGTGGGATGAGAGTAGTACACAGTAACAAGTGGGAGTGAGACGAGAGGGAGTGTGAGTGGGATGAGAGTAGTACACAGTAACAAGTGGGAGCGAGACGAGAGGGAGTGTGAGTGGGATGAGAGTAGTACACAGTAACAAGTGGGAGCGAGATGAGAGGGAGAGTGTGAGTGGGATGAGAGTAGTACACAGTAACAAGTGGGAGCGAGACGAGAGGGAGTGAGTGGAATGAGAGCAGCAGGGTGGAGTAATGAGTGACAGTGCTGCCCTGTTTTGAGTCGACTCAAAACTCGACTTATCACACACAGTGGGATGAGAGCAGCAGCGTGGAGTAATGAGTGACAGTGCTTCCCCGGAGTGTCAAGCTGGCTGCTGTGCCCAACCTCAACATCATAGTCAGCAACAGCGTGAGTGGGATGAGCGGGAGTTTAGTGGGATGTGTGGGAGTGTGAGTGGGGTGAGAGTAGCAGGCACAGAGTCATGAGTGGCAGCGCTCCCCTGCACTCTCAAGCTGGCTGCTGTGCCCAACCTTAACGTCACAGTCAGCAAGTGCACGAGTAGGATGAAAAGCAGTGTGAGTGGGCTCAATGCAATCTCGCCTTCCTGTCTCTTGCTCCTGTTTCCTTGAAGCTTCGCTGCCCTTGTTTCCCCGTTTTCCCCCGTTTGCCCCTCCTTTCCCCATTTCCCCCCTGCTCTTCCTCTGTCCTTGCTCCTTTCCCCTATTTCCCCCATCTTCCCCTCCGTCCCTCAGACCTCGTGCTTTGCAGAACCAGGCCTCGCCAGCACAAGCCCATGCGACGTTGCTGCTTCCATTCCCCCCACTTGTGCAGCTGCTGGTGGTGGCAGCACAACCATCACAAACCTCCATTCACTACACCTCCATCTCCTTCCATTACCCCCCTTTCCTCCCCACCTCCCTCCCTCAGACTTCGTGCTTTGCAGAACCAGCCCTCGCCAGTACAAGCCCATGCGACGCTGCTGCTTCCATTCCCCCCACTTGCGCTGCTCCTGGTGGTGGCAGCACAACCATCACGCCCCCCCCTTCACCTCCCCCACCTAAGAGTGGTGCTTATTCAGTTGTGCTGAAGGTGGCTGTTGCTGCTTGGATTGGTCTATTCAGTCTGGGTTTCTTGCTGTTGTAGCATCTCATGTGAGGTGTCAGCATATCAGACTGCTGGATTCTGAACCACTTTTTTACAGTAAACGTTTGAGCTAAGTACTAAGGGGTAGTGTAGTAGATATTTAACTTATAAAGGGAATTTGACAAATTTCAGTATGACTTGTTCTGCATGATTAGAAGTTGGGACCAAGACCGTATTCGACCGTTCTCGATATTGCCGTCGATGCTGTCAACAGCAAAGCGTCTCGCTGAAGCACCACAAGTGAACTTCTTCCAACCCTGGCGTTGTTCTGCAGGCGTTTAGGGTTCCGCACCAATTTGACCGCGGTAGCCTTCCGTGCATTTTCTAGGCGCATTCATGCTGGTTGCAACTTCGAGCCTGCAGACGATTAAATTCGTGCGCCCCAAAAGTGGCGTTCTGCAGGCTGATGCGTTAAATTTGGCGCAAACAGGTTCGGCAGGACCTTTCTTATCACCAAACCATGATAGGCAGATTTCCACTTATCAACGAAGATTCCGCGGACCCAGTTTTTGGAATTTTAACGCCTACAGAACAGCGCCCTTGCATTGCATTCGTTCCTCATGTACGGTACCCAATCTTGCATGCACAGTACGTAGTAATTACTAGGACGGTCGCCGCTCCTTACCGCAACCTTTATCGTACACGAGTGACTTATCTGGAAGCTTCGTTCGTAGGCGCGAACTCTAGGTAGTGTGCGTGCTAGAGTAGGAAAGCCGTGTCACCCACGCGCCTCGCGAAATTAATCACTTTTTACAAGGTCGCGCGAGATGGCGCCTTCGCCGAAGATAGCGCCGTCCATGCTTTCGTCAGACTTCGCGAATCTCGCGAGCGAGGCGCAGCGGATGCTTTCGTGCGGCGCTGATTGGCTACACATGGATATCATGGTAATTCCATACCTGCCTTACATTTGAGCCAGAAAGCTAGCCATTGATGAGGTGCGCTATGGATCATCAGTATTTTCGCTTCTAATTCTGGTTCCTATCACGGTTGTTTGCGATCCCTCACGTTTAACATCCGTCGCTCCTCTCTGACTCTTTCCTGCCTTCCACCCCCTTCTCCCCTATCTGTTCCGCCATCGGTCAACGCGGTCAACTCTGTGTGTGCTTGTGTGTGCATGCATGTTTCTCCCATGCCGTTCGTGTGCATTTCTTGCAGGATGGGTAGGGTTCAACTCAAGTACACACTGGTTTCTCACCACAAGTACACTGAACTTACCAGCACGCGTCGCTGAAAGCACATCTCCTTTGAGCCTCAGATCATGCTTTCCTCCGTCCATATGTCAAAATGCCATTTGCGAGTGACCTTTGAGAATTCTAAGAAAAGCACATCCCCTTTGAGCCTCAGATCACTGCCAAAATGCCATTCCTTTCTAGTGATCATGCTTTCCTCCCTCCATATATTACCCTCCCTCCCTCCTCCCTCCCCGCGTCCCCTCGCCTCGCCTCTGATCCCTCTCATCAACTTGTGACCTCGCACTTTCTCCCCTGTCCCTTGAGTCATTCTCATACTTCCCTCAACTTCCTTCGATTTCGCCTTTGTCTGCCTCGTCGACCTTGTTTCCTCCACTGCCTCTTCGCCCTCTTACCCCTAGACCTCTCCCCCTTTCGACTCTTCCAATCTCTTCCCCCCCTCAACTTATATCCTCTCCCTGACCCTCCCCGACTCTCCCTCTCCATCCTCTCTCCCACCTCCGCCTTCTTACCCCTAAATATCCTCCACGTCTACCCTCTCCCTTCTTCCACCTTCTCTCCTCCCCACCCTCTCCCCCTCCGCACTTCCCACCTTCCCAGCAACTTTGTGCCGAACCTCACCATCGGCCCTCCGGTGATTGCTGCGCTTCGAAAGCACACGGAGTAAGCAGCTTTCACACCCATCCCGTTGGGCTTGGCTCACGCGGTGTGCCCGACCCCTCATGCAACACACACACCTAGGGATGAGCAATTCGAGGCGAACGGAACAGGATTTTTTTTTGGCCTAAGTTGTTCGGGGCGAACGCGTTCGGTGTTCGCCCGAACATGTTCGCCGTTCGCCCAGCTCAGCTGGCCGAGGCGCGTCGAACACGAACACGTTCGTGTTTGACACGTGGCTTCGACAAACACCAATGTGTTTGACACGTGCCTTCGACAAACACCAATGTGTTTGACACGTGCCTTCGACAAACACCAATGTATTTGACACGTGCCTTCGACAAACACCAATGTGTTTGACACGTGCCTTCGACAAACACCAATGTGTTTGACACGTGCCTTCGACAAACACCAATGTGTTTGACACGTGCCTTCGACAAACACCAATGTGTTTGTCGACGAATAGGCCCTCGACCAATTTTTACGTCGCGGGCCTTGGTGTTTGGGCTCAGATTTGGCATTTCGCCGTTATTTAAGTGCAGGTCTAGCACTACGCCGTCAGTTAAGTGCAGATCTAGCATTTCGCCGTTGCTAAAGTGCAGATCGAGCATTTCGCCGTTGCTTAAGTGCAGATCGAGCATTTCGCCGTTGCTTAAGTGCAGATAGATCATTTCGCCGTTGCTTAAGTGCAGATCGAGCATTCCGCCGTTGCTTAAGTGCAGATCGAGCATTTCGCCGTTGCTTAAGTGCAAATCGAGCATTTCGCCATCACACGCTGGCACTAGCATGGATGAAGCAGGGCGGGACTGGCTTGGGGGGTGGGGGGAGGGAATGTGCAACGATTTGAATTTTACTCTATTTGGACGTTACAACCACCTAACAAATGTCAACAATACACAATCCACAAACATGTGACTTTAGTGAATGTAGTCCCGGGGCGAACATGAACGTGTTTGCCACGAACACGTTCGTGTTCGCCTGCGTCAACTAGGTGTTCGCCTTCATAGGCGAACGGCGAACACCCTTTTTTGGGGAAGTCGTTCGGCGAACCGAACACTGTTCGGTTTGCCGAACGGTGGTGTTCGTGCAGGGGCGAACGCGAACACGTTCGTGTTCACCTTTTGCTCATCCCTACACACACCCACCCTGTCCTCATTTTTCCTGAATATGTCTGTTGAGGCGCCTCAAAAGTCATTGGGCTCACTCAGTGTTCCCGACCCCTCATGCAACACACACACCCATGCTGTCCTCATTTTCTGGGAATACCCCCGTCACACAATCCCCTGTCCGTCTGCATGCTAACCGTCATGCTGGGGTGGGGCCTTCCTGCACGTGTGTAGACAAGCTGCGGCTTCCATGTCCTTCCACCCCTCCCTTGGTGACTTTTGAGTCGACTCAGAAGTCACCTTTGTCTGCATGCTAACCCTCATGCTAACCCTCATGCTAACCCTCATGCTAACCCTCATGCTAACCCTCATGCTAACCCTCATGCTAACCCTCATGCTAACCCTCATGCTAACCCTCATGCTAACCCTCATGCTAACCCTCATGCTAACCCTCATGCTAACCCTCATGCTAACCCTCATGCTAACCCTCATGCTAACCCTCATGCTAACCCTCATGCTAACCCTCATGCTAACCCTCATGCTAACCCTCATGCTAACCTCATGCTACCCTCATGCTAACCCTCATGCTAACCTCATGCTAACCCTCATGCTAACCCTCATGCTAACCCTCATGCTAACCCTCATGCTAACCCTCATGCTAACCCTCATGCTAACCCTCATGCTAACCCTCATGCTAACCCTCATGCTAACCCTCATGCTAACCCTCATGCTAACCCTCATGCTAACCCTCATGCTAACCCTCATGCTAACCCTCATGCTAACCCTCATGCTAACCCTCATGCTAACCCTCATGCTAACCCTCATGCTAACCCTCATGCTAACCCTCATGCTAACCCTCATGCTAACCCTCATGCTAACCCTCATGCTAACCCTCATGCTAACCCTCATGCTAACCCTCATGCTAACCCTCATGCTAACCCTCATGCTAACCCTCATGCTAACCCTCATGCTAACCCTCATGCTAACCCTCATGCTAACCCTCATGCTAACCCTCATGCTAACCCTCATGCTAACCCTCATGCTAACCCTCATGCTAACCCTCATGCTAACCCTCATGCTAACCCTCATGCTGGGCTGGGCCCTTCCTGCAACTGTGTAAACAAGCTGCGGCTTTCATACCTTACCCTACCCCTCTCTCCTCCCCTTCCACCCCACTATTTCTCTTGGTTTCCTTGGTTTGTGAGAGTGCAGTGTGTACCTCGACTGCAGGTTTTTTTTTAGACTTCTCAAGCCCTGCTTCGTTTGTGAAAAGCCCTGCTTCGTTTGTGAAAAGCCCTGCTTCGTTTGTGAAAAGCCCTGCTTCGTTTGTGAGAGTGCAGTGTGTACCTCAACTGCCACCTCCTAGTCACGGACCCATACCATCCGCCTTCACATCACACCCTTCCCCTCCCTACTCTTCCCCTTCCTTTCGACACCTTTTCTCCCGCATGATGATCGCGCAGTTGCCTACCTGGACTGCCACCTCATCTTCACGGGCCCCTTCGTCTACGTGGAGTGTTCAACCGCCAGCTATACAGCCTGTGGCCTCTACACCCTTCCCCTCTCTCATCTTTCTCCCTTTGTTTTTTTTTATGTGGGGTTGCAGTGCCTACCTGGACTGCCACCTCATGGTCACAGACCCCTTCGCCTACGTGGAGTCTATGAAGCAGGCCGGAGCTTCCTCCTTCACCTTCCATGTGGAGGCTGTGCCAGGTCAGCGTGCCAGGTGTCAGGTTGTACATCAACCCTAAACTCAGGCTTGTGCCTCCGAGCAGGAAGTCGCTTTAAAAAAGCAAAGACCCATCTTCTTTTCCACCTCCCCCCTCCTTTGCGTTTGGTTTGTCTTCGTTCGAGACGCCTCAAGGATACCCCCTCTCCCGTCCCCCTCTCTCCCTTCCTTTCTTCCCTCCTCACCTCCCCGCACATATATACCCCAGGCAGGGCACAGCAGCTGGTGGCTGAGGTGCATGCAGCGGGCATGAGGGCGGGGGTGGCCATCAAGCCTTCCACGCCTGTCGAATCCGTCCTGCCCCTCGTACGTTGCTTGCTTGTTGCTGCACAGCACACGCCCCGAATACCGCCCATCGTACCTTTTCTTTTGCGGTCGCTCGTACGTTGTTGGAGAGTATAGGTAGCGAGGCAGCGAATATTGTGATAGCGATGATTACAGTGGAGCCGGGAGTCAAAAGGCAGGCATGTCTCTTATCCCCCATTCTCCCTCCCTAACCATTCGGTCATTTTACCATCACCCTGTGTGATCACTCCGTATCACAGTTGGAGGGACAGATACGGAGTGATTTCACAGGTTGATGGTGAGATGGCAGAATGGTTAAGGAGGGAGAATGGAGGATGAGGGCAGTGGATGTGGTGCTGGTGATGACAGTGGAGCTGGGGTTCGGAGGGCATGTGTCTCTCTTATCCCCCACTCGCCTCTCCCTAACCATTCTCCCATCATCACCCACGTGATCATCCCTCATGGCAGTTGGAGGGGCAGGAGGCAGTGGATGTGGTGCTGGTGATGACGGTGGAACCGGGGTTCGGAGGGCAGGCCTGTCTATTACCATCACCATCACCATAATCACCCCTAATCGGATCAACCTTAGCTGTTCTGTCGTCCTCCCCCCCCACGACCACCCCCCATGACAGTTGGAGGGGCAGGAGGCAGTTGATGTGGTGCTGCTGGTGATGATTGTGGAGCCGGGGTTCGGAGGGCAGGTCCGTTCATCATTACTACCATAATCATGCCTAATTGTTCTGTCAACCCCACCTCTCATGACCGCCCTTAACTGCAGTTGGAGGGGCAGGAGGCGGTGGATGTGGTGCTGGTGATGACGGTGTAGCCGGGGTTCGGAGGGCAGGCATCTCACTCATGATTACCATTATCGTTCCTACCCCTCATGCTCACACCTGATTGCAGTTGGAGGGACAGGAGGCAGTGGATGTGGTGCTGGTGATGACAGTAGAGCCGGGGTTTGGAGGGCAGGCGTTTATGCCTGACATGATGCCCAAGGTGCAGTTTCTACGGTCACGATTCCCAGAGCTGGATATTCAGGTGAGATGAGGAATCTTCCGGTACTCCTGTGTTTACACCCCAAGTGTTTATGCCTGAGTTGATGCCTAAGGTGCAGTTCTTGCTGACAATGTTTCCCGATTTGACTATTCGGGTGAGAGGAGGAGGAATGCGCTCCTATGCTCACACGCAGATGTTGATGCCTGGATGTTTAGCATGCTACGCATTTTCTTGTTAGGGCGTATTCCTACGGCCTCCTATCAAGCCACCTCCTATCAAGATTGTACATTTTGCCCGTGAAAAGTAGCGAGAGGTTTTGGGTTTAGGGGATTTTTCGGTGTGAGCTTGATAGGAGGTCAGATTGATAGGAGGATAGGAATACGCCCTTATATTTTACCACGTATCCTGTTTGTGCAGGTGGATGGCGGGTTGGGTCCATCGACCATAGGTCAAGCAGCAGAAGCTGGAGCCAACTGCATTGTTGCTGGAAGCTCTGTGTTTGGCGCTTCCGACCCGGCCGCTGCCATTGCTGTCCTCCGTGATGCCGTGCTAAAAGCGCAGCAATAAGCCTTGCAATAAAAGCAGCTTCGGGAGTGCTCCATCACACACCCATGAGACCAAATGTTTGGAGTTGTGGTTGCATTTCATGCTACACATGCGGAGTTATGATGGCATGTAGATATAGCTGGATAAGAACTGGGCTTTGGTGGAAGTTAGGGCTCCGTTTAATTATGTGTCAAAATAGCACATTATGTCCAGCTGTACATAACGTTGCGCTATATCAGTTACTGTTGCTTCTCGTAAGTGTTTCTGTGCAAATTTGCTGTTATCAAAAGAGTCAGGCACGTATCGCGTCAGCGGACCGCATTCGGTTCAAATGTCGACTCTGGCGGGAAATCCTATTTGAATTTCTGCCAAAACCATCACATTTCAAATTCCCCCCAAACCCGTCTGAATTTCTCCCCGCACGCATGGCACGTCCACTAGATGTTCTATCACCCTTCTCTGAGATGATTCAACTCATGAGTTAGGGCGACGTCAGGTTGTACGTTTCTCAGCACCTTGGCAGTTCTTGTATCGTGGCTGAGGACAGTTCCACACGGTGGGAAGCGGTTCTCAAGCTTTACCGTTTTGCACCGTGAAGAAACGGAGTTGAGCGTACAGAAGTTGTACAACCTGACGTCGCCCTTATGACTACAATGGTGACGGCACGGCAGCCCGACTCGGGTCCTCCTCGATCTTTCGCCGAAAAGCATCGAGCGAGCCAGGGGTCCTTTTTTTGCAGCACGCGCCACGTCGTCACTTGCACGCGTTTATGCCGTGGCTGTGCTGTGTATCGCCGCGCTTTTCACTAGACGTGACTTGGACGGAAGGGCAGCATTTGCTTGACGTATGCTTGGATAGTTTCAGTGCACGAGCTGACAGCGAGTAGACGCCTCCTAAGCAGCCAGGAATTGATCGGCAGGCCGACTTAGTAGAACCACTGTCGTCGCGGTCGCGACCCAAGAATAGAAACCTTACATTGTACATACCATCATAGAAAAACGCCATTGTAGTGTTTCCTCGTTTCTTACTCACTGAGCAGTGTTTTGAGTCAACTCGAAACACGGTATCTCACCGACTGACTACGTTTCCAGCTAGACGCACCAATGACGGCAGATAGACTTTCCGCTCGAGTCGCGCTATGCACATGCATGCTCCTGATCAGCGCCGCACGCGGGCAAGGCGACGTCGAAACAGGTAGGCGGAAGCAAGTAAAAGCGCGTCGGTAGCCCGTACTGTATCCCCCTACAGGTGCTGTTTCAGTCGATTCAAAGCATCCCTGCAGCAGCGAACCCGCATATTAGTCGCTCGGTGGCTGCTGTTATGTTTTTTTTTTTTTTGGCACCTCAGAAATCGTCTCAAATCAACCGCGTAGTAGTCCTCTTTCTTTTCCTCCAGTTAGTGCAGCCGCCAACGCGAGTCGCCTTATCCCCTTCTCCCCCTTCCCGTCTATCCGCCCCTTATTAGTGCACCCGCCACTGTCCCACTGATCCCGCGAAACAGGGTTGCTTCCAAGCCCGAGGCCCGCTTCCAAGCCCGAGGCCCGCTTCCAAGCCCGAGCCCCGCTTCCAAGCCCGAGCCCCGCTTCCAAGCCCGAGCCCCGCTTCCAAGCCCGAGCCCCGCTTCCAAGCCCGATCCCCGCTTCCAAGCCCGATCCCCGCTTCCAAGCCCGAGCCCCGCTTCCAAGCCCGATCCCCGCTTCCAAGCCCGATCCCCGCTTCCAAGCCCGATCCCCGCTTCCAAGCCCGATCCCCGCTTCCAAGCCCGATCCCCCTAGTACCGCCCAGCCTTCTTCCCCGCCCCGTGCTTCCTCGCCTCATCCCCCTCTTACCCTTCCCTTCTATCCGCCCCTTAATGCAGCCGCCACTGTCCCACTAATTCCGCCAAACAGGGGCGCTTAGAAGCCCGCGCCCGCTAGTACTTTCCAGCTTTTTTCCCCGCCTCATCCCCCTCTCCCCCTTCCCTCCCATCCGCCCCTGACTGCAGCCGCTACTGTCCCACTGATACCGAAAAGCAGAGGCGCTTCCTAGCCCGGGTCCATCTAGTACCCAATCTTCTTCCTGCCCCTTCCCGCCTCCCCTTTCCCTCCCAATAGCTTTCAACATTGCAATTTCCTCTCTGAATGCAGCCGCTACTGTCTCACTAATTGTGAAAAACACGGGCGCTTCCGAGCACGCGCAGCCTTCTTACGCGCCCCCTGCTTCCTTGCCTCATCCCCTCTCCCCGTCCTCCCCTCCTATCCCTCTCCCCGTCCTCCCCTCCTATCCCTCTCCCCGTCCTCCCCTCCTATCCCTCTCCCCGTCCTCCCCTCCTATCCCTCTCTCCGTCCTCCCCTCCTATCCCTCTCCCCGTCCTCCCCTCCTATCCCTCTCCCCGTCCTCCCCTCCTATCCCTCTCCCCGTCCTCCCCTCCTATCCCTCTCCCCGTCCTCCCCTCCTATCCCTCTCCCCGTCCTCCCCTCCTATCCCTCTCCCCGTCCTCCCCTCCTATCCCTCTCCCCGTCCTCCCCTCCTATCCCTCTCCCCGTCCTCCCCTCCTATCCCTCTCCCCGTCGTCCCCTCCTATCCCTCTCCCCGTCCTCCCCTCCCATCCCTCTCCCCCTTCCCTCCAATCGCTCTCCCCCTTCCCTCCCATCCCCCCCTGACAGCCGCTTATAACGCCCCACCGATACCGAAGCACAGGGGTACTTCCAAGCCTGGGCCCGTCTACTATGGCTCGCCAGACCTCCTTTCCAACCCGCACAAATCTTCCGGCTCGTCTAAATCTGGGCCGTCGCAATCTGGACCGTTGAAATCTGGGCCGTCAAAATCCGGGTCCACGAAGCCTGGTAACCTAGTATCCGGAGGCACCCCGACAGCGGGACCGCGATGCGTCAATCGCTTTCCCTCCCGCCCGCTCTGCAAGTTTGTCGACAGCCTCCGCGCGGCCGGCACGGGCGGCACGGGCGGCAGGATGGAGCTCGTGGACGGCACAAGCGGGAAGATTCTCCGAATCGGAGTGTATCAGATCCGGCAGAAGTTTCACCGAGATCTGCCGCCCACGAAGCTGTACGCGTTTGGGACGAGCCGCGCGCGCGCGTCGTATCCGGGTCCGACTATAGTGGCGAGGAAGGGCGTCATGACTAAGGTGCGAGATGGGACGCAAAAGCGAATATAGACGAACCATGCAGGCGCGCTCGCGTCGTATCCGGGGCCGACTATAGTGGCGAGGAAAGGCGTCATGACTAAGGTGAGCGAGTGGACGCGAAAGCGATTGTAAATTATGCGCGAGCGTGCGCGTCGTATCCGGGTCCGACTATAGTGGCGAGGAAGGGCGTCATGACTAAGGTGCGAGATGGGACGCCGCGTGCCATTGTAACGAGGTGACTTTTGAGTCGACTCAAAAGTCACCTCGGGTCCGACTATAGTGGCGAGGAAGGGCGCCATGACTAAGGTGCGAGATGGGACGCCGCGTAAATATGGCAGATTTTATGGGTTTGTGCACTAGACGCGTTGTTTTGAGACGTCTTAAAACTTACTGCCAGTCCACATTTCTGCTCTGTGTGAAAACACGCTTGAACCTCCGATCCTGTTGACATACTTCACAACTCTCCTTCGTGTTGGATTGCACGTGGCAGATTCGGTGGGAGAACCATCTAACGGACGAAAAGCACATGTTGCAAGTAGACTACACTATCAATAAGGACGTCCCTAGACCGTCCCGTGGCGGCATTCCCTTCGGTGAGTGGTGCCTCGCTTGAATGTTCGAATTCGTTAGCGGCGCCAAAGTGCAGTGTAATTGCAATAAATACACTGTAATTAAACACGACCTTATACCAACCCCCCACATGCACCCGCCCTGTAGGCTGTATCAGCGCGCTCACGTCTCCCCCATTGCTTGAAATTTGTTTTGAGACGTCTCAAAACGCTCCCCCGTTGCTTGAACTTTGTTTTGAGACGTCGCAAAACGCTCCCCCGTTGCTTGAACTTTGTTTTGAGACGTCACAAAACGCTCCCCCGTTGCTTGAACTTTGTTTTGAGACGTCGCAAAACGCTCCCCCGTTGCTTGAACTTTGTTTTGAGACGTCGCAAAACGCTCCCCCGTTGCTTGAACTTTGTTTGGAGACGTCACAAAACGCTCCCCCGTTGCTTGAACTTTGTTTCGAGACGTCGCAAAACGCTCCCCCGTTGCTTGAACTTTGTTTTGAGACGTCTCAAAACGCTCCCCCGTTGCTTGAACTTTGTTTTGAGACGTCGCAAAACGCTCCCCCGTTGCTTGAACTTTGTTTTGAGACGTCACAAAACGCTCCCCCGTTGCTTGAACTTTGTTTTGAGACGTCGCAAAACGCTCCCCCGTTGCTTGAACTTTGTTTTGAGACGTCGCAAAACGCTCCCCCGTTGCTTGAACTTTGTTTTGAGACGTCACAAAACGCTCCCCCGTTGCTTGAACTTTGTTTCGAGACGTCGCAAAACGCTCCCCCATTGCTTGAACTTTGTTTTGAGACGTCTCAAAACGCTCCCCCATTGCTTGAACTTTGAGAATTCTCACAAGTTCAATCAGCGCACTCACGTCTTCCCTCCCCCGTGCCCTCCACATTGCCCGCTTTCCCCTGCAATGCCCTTCAGACAAGGAGATCATGCACACAGCGCCTATTTCGGCTGTTCCCAGGCGTGGTTCGCTCAGTACGAGCCGGACCCCATTACTCTCACCCACCTCCCGTTCCTTTTCTCCCCTTCCCCCTCCTCTCCCTGCAGTGCCCTTCACGCAAGGAGGCCACACACACAGCTCCTACTCCGGCCACCCACAAGCCTGGTTCACTCAGTATGGCGAGCTCGGCCCTGCCCTCTCCTCCCTTCCCCAAGTCTTATCTTCTCTCTCTCGCCCATGCCCCTTCTTCCCTCCCTGCAGTGCCCTTCCGGCAAGGAGGCCACGCACACAGCTCCTACTCCGGCCACCCCCAGGCGTGGTTCACACAGTACGGCGAGCTCGGCCCTGCCTTGTCCTCCCTTCCCCAAATCTCCACCTTTTCCATCCCGCCCATGCCCCAACTCCCCTTCCCTCCCTGCAGTGCCCTTCCGGCAAGGAGGCCACGCGCACAGCTCGTATTCCGGCCATCCCCAGGCGTGGTTCACTCAGTACGGCGAGCTCGGCCCTGCCCTCTCCTCCCGATCCTCCACCCGAACCTCCCGTGCCTCCCGAACCTCTCCACTTCCCTCCTCCTCCTCTTCTCCCTCTTCCGGAGGCCCTGAGGCCCCTCAAGAGCATGCATACTATTCGCAAACGTACAAGTATCTGAACCAGCACTCTGCTGCTCTGCTCTGGTATCGGGACCGCACTCAGGGCGTGGGGAGGTTGAACCTTATAGCGGGGATGGCAGGCCTGTACGTTGTAACGGATCCTGACGGGGCCGAGGGGAAGCGGAGAAGTGGAAAAGCAGGGAGCGGAGAAGCAGGAGGGGGAGGAGCAGGAGGGGGAGGAGGAGGAGGGATAGGGGAGCAAGGGGGAGGAGGTGGGAAGGTATCGGGGGCGGGAGTGGGAAGCTGGATTCCCAAGGGGGATTACAGTATTCCTCTGGTGTTGGCGGATCGAACGTTCACAGCGAATGGATCGCTGTATTACCCGAGGAGAGGGGTGGTGCCTGATGTGCATCCCAACTGGGTGGACGGGTTCTATGGCAACACCATTGTTGTGAATGGCCTGGTGAGAGCTATAACGAGTGTGCTTGTAAGGAGTATAGGAGCTTGTTATTCTATCATGTAGGTCCGTATTACCCGAGGAGAGGCGTGGTGCCTGATGTGCATCCCAACTGGGTGGACGGGTTCTACGGCAACACCATTGTGGTTAATGGGCTGGTAAGAGTTCACCAACCGTGGATATAGCGAGTCCGTTTGTAAGGAGTATAGCGAGTCTGTTTGTCTCTCCCTCCTAGCACACCCCTTATTCCCTCCTGTCACCCCAGGTCTGACCGTACCTCAAGGTCCATCCAGCTCTCTGCTGCCAACGCCTGTTCATTCCACACAAACCCACCTACTCCGCTGTCTCCCCTCCTGCTCTCCCTACCTTCCAGGTCTGACCGTACCTCAAGATCCATCCAGCGCTGCACAGGTTCTGACAGCTCTCTGCTGCCAATGCCTGTTCATTCCACACACACCTGCTCTCTCCCCTCCTGCTCTCCCTCCTTCCAGGTCAGGCCGTACCTCAAGGTGCGTCCAGCGCTGCACAGGTCCCGCCTGCTCTCTGCTGCCAACGCCTGTTCACTCCACCCAAATCCCCTACTCCTCGCCCCTCCGTTCACTCCCCTCCCTGCCCTCTCTCCCCCCTACAGGCCTGGCCGTACCTCAAGGTGCGTCCAGCGCTGCACAGGTTGCGCCTGCTCTCTGCTGCCAACGCTCGTTTCTTCAACCTCTCCTTTGTCTGCGCCGATCGCCGCGACTACCCCAACTTCTACCCTCCTTTAAAAGGGAGCAAAGTGAAATTTGCCCAGGTAAATACATGAAGCCCGGCTTGCTTGGATCGGAGGCCGAGGCTGTACATGGCTTGCATGGCTCGCTTCTTTCAACTCGTTCTTGTCCTCTCTGCCCTCCCTCGCCCTCCCACACAAACTCTCTTCGTTCATCCCTCACGCCCCACTTAACCCAACACCCCGTTTCCGATCAGCAGTGACGCCGGCTACCTCGTCTTTTGAGGCGCCTCAAAGTCGCCGGCTACCTCGTCTGCCCAACCTACGTCCGCTCCCTCCCCGTCGCCCATGGAGAGAGAAAGGACATTCTCGTGGACTTCTCCTCGCTGCCCTCCTTCTCTCTTCTCACGCACCCTCACTCCTCCCAACACCTCTGCACTCTTTTCAACACCCCCTTTTCAGATAAGCAGTGATGCAGGTTATCTCGTCCGCCCATCCTACGTCCGCTCCCTGCTACTTGCACCAGGCGAGCGAAAGGACATTCTCGTGGACTTCTCCTCGCTGCCCTCCGTCTGCCGGGACGTGATTGTAACGAATTCGGCTCCCTCGCCCTTCCCTAACGGCACGCCTCCGGGCAGTCACACGGGGGTGGTGATGCGGATTGTGATCACCCAGACGAAGAAAATCGCCAGCCCAAAAATACCCGAGAAAATATCGGTAATTTTCCCCAGAACACCCTTAGCCCAATAACATTGACCCGCGCTGCAGAGCAGCGATGGAAAACGCTGGCAACAGTTGAAAAGCCTGTTATGAGAAGACTCAAAACAGACTAACTCCCACGTGCTTTGGTAGACTGCCTCTGAGACCCCTTTCACTAACGTCCATCTGCTTGTTGCATGCCTCCCTCCCCTCTCCCTCACCCCTCCCTCCCCTCTCCCTCACCCCTCCCTCCCACACCCCTTCTCCCCGGATCAACCTCAACCAAGTAGCACATGACCGTGAAAGATGCTGGTCTGGGTTAGAGAAACACGTGTATAATGGGTATGTTTGAGACGTCTCAAAGATACCCCCCGATCAACCTCAACCAAGTGGCACAGCACCGGTGGAAGATGCTGGTCTCCGTTAAAGCCGCTCAAGCCGATGCCCCGCCTGACCTTCCTTCCCCACCTCTCTCGTTCCCTGCTTCCCCAGAACCCTCCTCCCCCCGATCAACCTCAACGCGCAGCACAGGTGGAAGATGCTTGTCTCGGTAAAAGCCGCGGAAGCCGACGCCCCTCTCCTCTCTCACTCCCTTTCCTCCCCAACTCTCCCGTTCCCTGCTTCCCCAGAACCCTCTTTCCCCCATCAACCTAGACCAGGCAGCGCAGCACCGGTGGAAGATGCTTGTATCGGTTGCAGACACTCAAGTTGACACCCCTCCTGACCTTCCTTCCCCCTCGCCCTTTTCCCATTTTGCCCCCCTTCCCTGCTTCCCCAGAACCCCCTTCCCCCAATCAACCTGAACCAGGCAGCGCAGCACCGGTGGAAGATGCTTGTCTCAGTTAAAGACGCGCAAGCTGACGCCCCTCTGCGCATGCTGATCGACAACATGGGCTTTAAGGACGCGGCCACTGAAGCTCCCAGAGTGGTACGTGTGGGGAGGGGAGGAAAGGAAAACATATCTGTAGCATGCAGGTTCCCTCCCTTCCCCTCTCCTAACTCTTCTTCCACCACAACAGGGGACCTACGAAATATGGCACATAGTCAGCCTCTCCCCCAACGCCCACCCCATCCACATCCCCCTCGCACTCCACCGCCCCATCTTCCTCTCCTCTCTTCTTCTGCTTTGCTTCTTCCCCTTCTCCCTATCCTTCCACCACAACAGGGGACATACGAAATATGGCACATAGTCAACCTCTCACCCATCGCCCACCCCATCCACATTCCCCTCGCACTCCACCGCCCCATCTCCCGCCGTCGATTCGACGCAGAGGCCTTTTTGGACGGGTTCTGTGCGTTTGATCGGGCGATGGGGTGGGCCAGCTACAGTAGATCTGGTAACCACAGTAAATCTGGTAACCGTGGTAACAGCAGCAACCGTGGTAGCAGTGGGAACGGAGGGAGCAGCAGCGGCAGCGGCAGCAGTGGCAGCAGCAGCAGAAACAGAAGACAAGAGAAAGAGGAGAACACAAAGGAGGAGACAACAAATACAAAGCTGCCTATCAGAAAACCACCAGCGGAAACAGCACCTCGGTCGTGTTTCATAAAGAAGCCCAAGGGAATACCAGGAGGGGAGAGGCTGGGATGGCAAGACACAAGCGTGGTCTGGCCGAGACAGGTGCTCTCGCTCTGGGTCGCATGGGGGAGCACAGCCAGCATGGCAGCAGCAGCAGGAGGAGGAGGAGTGAAGGGAGGGTTTGGGTTTGATGCGACGAGGGGGCCTGGATACGCATGGCATAGTGGAATTGCCGAGCTGATGGACAATGAGGCTATGAGGCCAGTCGTGGTGCGCGCAGGCAAGTGATAGTGGAGGTGGGGAGGCGAGAGGCTGGGGTGGCAGGATACAAGTGTAACTAGGGTTTGACGCGACGAGGGGGCCTGGATACGCATGGCATAGTGGAATTGCGGAGCTGATGGACAACGAAGCCATGCGGCCCATTGTGATCCGTTCTGGGAAGTGATTCGGCTTCTACCTTTCTGAGGTGTTTCGGAAACACAGCCAAGGGGGTGGTTGCAGAGCGGAGCTGATGGATAATGAAGCCATGAGGCCCATCGTGGTGCGTGCAGGCAAGTGATAAGTTGCTCCCATCGTGGAGGCGGAAAGTCTGAGAGGCCCGTTGTGGTCCGTGGCAAGCAAGAGATTCGGCTTTCTACTTACCGTATTGAGGCCATGCCGTGCGTTGAAGTCAGTCAAAGGGAGGTTGCAGGGGTGATGGATGGTGGGGTGTGGCTACACTGCCGGTGGTTGTCTTGGTGAGGCTAATAGTGGTGAGCCCACAAGGGTACCGGTAAGTGATTTTTCTTCTAGCTTTATACCGTAATTACCTTACTGAGGCGTACCGGGAACACGGTCAAAGGGGATTGCAGTGCAGGGGTGATGGATGGTTGGGGCGTGGCGTGGCTACACTGCCGGTGGTTGTGCTGGTGAGGCTGATAGTGAGTCCACGAGGGTTTCTAGGGGTGTCAGGTGCTGTGCGGCTGTTGGCGGCTGTCGGGTGAGCTCTCAAGGGGCACAGCTGCGCGGGCTTTGTGGTGTTTGTACAGGACAGGACAGGCGTACCGTAATGTGTTTTTTTACCGGTATGATACAGTAGAAGCACCTAACCCAATGTAATGTTATCAATTTCTAAACCCAACCGAACTACTGTACCACATAGGAGTTCCATAGACACTTGTTTGCATACCGTAGTTGTGGTATACAATGACTCGATTGACCAATATACATGGTCTTTAAATAGCTTTACACAATATACAGACGTAAGCGCTGGCTGGCAACTTGCGAATAACTTGCAGCTAAGAAATGGCTGACAGTACCTACCGTACCACACTCAGCCATGCTGCTATCCAAGCTCTCCTCTCCTCTTTGACACATCTCATACCGGTACAAGCTGTGCCCGCCCTCACCTGCTGCTCTTGAGGCCCGGCACAGCCCGCTACTCCTCAAGCTGCTATCCAAGCTCTGCCACCCCTCTTCGGCACATCTAATGCTGGTACAACCTGTGCCCGCCCTCACCTGCTGCTCTTGAGGCCTCAAAAAGCTGCTATCCAAGCTCTACCACCCCTCTTCGGCACACCTCATACTGGTACAAGCTATCTGCCCCCTCTCGCCTGCTGCTCGCTCCGGACTAGCAAGGCAGTGCCACCTCATCCCACAGCGGCAGCGCTTCGCATTGCCAATGCAGCATGTCACTCCCATCGCAGCACGCCCATCACGCTGCCATTCCCGCATGTCCCACTCGCTCGCCTGTTGCTCACTCCTGAATCAACGCAAAAGTCTTCTTCACAAATTGCAAGACACACCACTCGCTGCCGTTCCTGCATGCCACTCCTCTTGGAATATCTCCATCACCACCGCCCTCACTCGCCTGCTGCTCACTCCTGAATCAACGGAAAAGCCACCTCGGCCCATTGCGACACGCCCCTCATGCTCTCATCCCAGCACACCCCTCACGCTCTCATCCCAGCACACCCCTCACGCTCTCATCCCAGCACACCCATCACGCTCTCATCCCAGCACACCCATCACGCTCTCATCCCAGCACACCCCTCACGCTCTCATCCTAGCACACCCCTCACGCTCTCATCCCAGCACACTCCTCACGCTCTCATCCCAGCACACCCCTCACGCTCTCATCCCAGCACACCCCTCACGCTCTCATCCCAGCACACCCCTCACGCTCTTTTATCTTGACAAAAATGCAAGACACACCTCATGCTGACATCCCAACATGCCCCTCACGCTGCTGCCATTCCAGCACATGCCACTCCTCTTGGAATATCGCAAACACGGCAGCCCTCACTCGCTTCTTGCTCACCGGATGGTTCTCCCCGAAAATCTTCCCTGCTTGAAGGGACATCGAGGGGGGAGAAACAGTGAGGTATTACTGAGTCGACTCGAAATTCACACAAGCTCTGGATCAGGTAGTGAAAAGTATGTGGAGCCAGGTGGCACGAGCTGGCACGAGTTGGTGACAGCAGTAGATCAGCGATTTTCTCACTGAGTCCGGGCTTTTTCTTTGTTCTCAGCCAAGTTTTTTTTTTTAATCTCTTAAAAGAAAAGAAAAGAAAAACACACACACACATAAATAAACTTGGACGAGAGGCTTACCGAGCTGCTGTTGCACGGATATGACAGTCATCTGCAGCAGCACGTTGGTAGGAGGCGGGGGAGAAGCGGGGGAGAGGGAGGGGAGAGTACGTTTGAGGTGCTTCAAAAGTGTTGTTTGGGAAGAGAGGCACGCCTAGCTGCTGTTGCACAGATACGACAGTCGTCTGCAGCAGCAAGCGAATTGGTGGATGGGGGGAAGAGCCACGTGTAGAGAGGGTGTTTTTGAGACGTCTCAGAGGCACACCTAGCTGCTGGCTGTATCTCCTTAATCGCCTCTGCCCGGAGCCTTCCCTTGTTTTGAGTAGACTCATAACAAGGGAAGGCTCACCTGCTCACCAGGCAGAGCAGGTAGACTGGGATCTCAGTCGCGCTCGCCTGCTTTATATTCCCTGTGTGTGTCCACCACCTTCTTTATCTCCCTCTCAATCTCCTCCGCCAGAAGCCATCCCGCCGTTGAGGCGCCTCAGAGGTAGACTCATCCCAGTCTCGCTCACCTTCTCTCTGCTCACCTGCTCTAGATTCCCTGTTTCCACCAGCTTCTGTATCTCCCACTTAATCTCCTCTGCCAGAAGCTGTCCCTTGGTCCTCTGCTTTTGAGGCGCCTCAGAAGTGGATTCATCCCAGTCTCACTCACCTTCTCTCTGCTCACCTGCTCTAGGTTCCCTGTGTCCACCAGCTTCTTTATCTCCCTCTTAATCTCCTCCGCCAGGAGCTCTCCCTTGATCCGCCGCCTTTCAGCCAATTCACTCGCCGTCACCTTTCCTCTGCGCACCCCACTCAGCTTCCCCTGCGCTTCACCTGCATCCTCCTCCTCCTCCCCCTCTTCCTCTCCCGCTTCCATTTCGAGCTGGCCCCGGAGTGGACTCACAAGTCGCCTTTCTGACAAACCACTCGCCGCCTGCTTGTCAATCGGCTTCATCAGATTCCCCTCCGCATCACCTGCACCCTCCTCCTCTCCCACCTCTCTCTTTTTTGTCCCTCGTTCTAACATCCTTCTCCTTTTCCCCCGCCTCTCGTCCCCCCTTCCATTGCCCCTCTCATCCCCTCCCTCACGTCCTAACTTCCGCTTCTCCTCTCCAGCTCTCTCCGCCTGCTCCTTTTCTTCCATCGCTTTCTTCTGCTTCCAATGCAATTTCTTCTTCCCAAAGTCCGCCTCCCCAGATTCTCCCGCTTGCTTTCTCCTCCCCTCATCCTCTTGCTTCTTTTCTTCCATCGCTTTCCTCTGCTTCCAGTGCAATTTCTTCTTCCCCAAATCCGCTTCCCCGGATTCTCCCGCTTGCTTTAACTTCCCCTCATCCGCTTTCCTCTTTTCTTCCATCGCTTTCTTCTGCCTCCAATGCAATTTCCTCTTCCCCTCATCCGCCTCCTCAGTTTCTCCCGCTTGCTTTCCCTTCCCCTCATCCGCTTGCCTCTTTTCTTTCATCGCTTTCCTCTGCTTCCAGTGCAATTTCTTCCCCAAATCCGCCTCCCTGGTTTCCCCCTCTTTCTTTCTCTTCTCGTCTGCTTGCTTCTTTTCTTCCATCGCTTTCTTCTGCTTCCAGTGCAATTTCTTCTTCCCCTCATCCGCCTCCCCAGTTTCTCCCGTTTTCCTTCCCTTCTCCTCGTCCGCTTGCTTCCTTTCTTCCATCGCTTTCTTCTGCTTCCAGTGCAATTTCTTCTTCCCCAAATCACCCCCCCCACTTACCCCGCCTCTAGTCCCTCCACATGCCACCGTTTTCCCCGTACCTCGCATCGTCTCAACCCTAATCTCCTGCCCCTCCTGCCTCTTTCCCCCATCTCGCATGCTTGCAATCCCCTCACCCGTCTCAACAGCGCGCCCTAAACGGCCGGACCTGCCAGCCTCTCTTCTCTCCCTTCTCTCCATTCTCTCTCTTCTCCCCTCCCTCTTTTCCCCGGCGCGCGTGCTTTCATTCCCCCGAATCCCCTCTCTTGTGGCTAAAGTTCGCTGTAAACGGCCGGACGTGGCGCGAGCTGTAACTGCGTTAACTCTCGCAGGCTTCGCCTGCCGCATCCTCGTCGCTCGGGGAGGGATTTCTCTGACGTCACCTTCCCCACCGCTCCCGTCGCTTCCGCTTTTGTTTTCGCGAATTTCCTCGCATTCGTCGTTAGTCTCCTCAATTTCGCCGCCATCCTGCATCATCATCACCTCCTGAACCTCCTGAACCTCCTCGTTCCCCCTCTCGCCTGCCCTCCTCCTTCCCCCTCTCCATCCTCCCTTCCCTCTTCCCCTACCTATCACCCCGGCCATCTCTCCCACCTACGTTTTTCCCAGTAGAGAATAAGGCGTTAAGATATTCTCACTAATCCGCTTCCCCCGCCCAGTTTCTACACAACAACCACCATCGAGTCGCCGTTCTGGTGTTTACTCGTCGATTTCTCGAGTCAAACCATCCTCAAGCTCCTGCCAACGAAATATACTCCCTCATCGGAAAACAGGGGGGGGAGGGGATCGTGTGTTGATCGACTCTTGTTCGAATCTTCCTCGTCTTGCAGGGGTTGGGAATCATGCGAAACTCTGGCTCGCATATTGCTTGGGAGTGTTGTTCGGGTGTTGCGTGAAATGTGAAGAGGTGCGCGTGTTTATGGAGGTTTGATGTCAACACGCAGACTCGGGTGGTCGGTTCGGTGGAAGCAATCAGTCAATCGCGCTGTTACATGTACGAAATGGTTGTAACAAACAGTGAGCTTTGTAAGGATTTACAAATACTTACTGAGGCACTTGTTATCGAGGCCATCCCGAGGGTCACGCGACGAACCTGTCCTTCCTATTTCGTCGCACCGAACCACTCCCGAGTCGCCTCCACACCAATCGCATCCATCCCGAGAGCTTTGAGGCGCATAGCAGTTGGCTTCACGAGGCACGTGAAGATCTACAGCAGAGCGCGGAAGAAAAAGGCTGGCATGAATGCTTCGAAAAGGACGGGTGACAGGAGCCACCTGAATGCTGACGAAGCAGGCGCTATGCGC